GACATTTTATAATAGAAAGGTCAATCCATCCAGAAAATATAACAATTATAAATATATGTACATCTAATAACAGCCTCAAAATACATGAAGCAAAAACTGACAGAATTAAAGAAAGAAGTAGACAATTCAACAATAATAGCTGGAGACTTCAATACCCTATTTCAGTAATGGACAGAACAACTAGACAGAAGATCAATAAGGAAACAGAAGACTTGAATAACACTATAAATCAGCTAGACCTAGCAGTCATCTATAGAGCATTCCACCCAAGAACAGCAGAATACACATTCTTGTCAAGTGTACATGGAACACTTTCCAGGATAGATCATATGTTAGGTCATAAAGCAGGTCTCAATAAATTTAAAAGGCTTGAAATCATGCAAAGTATGTTTTCTGACCACAATGGAATGAAACTAGAAATCATAACACAAGTGTCTCAAGTGTCGTTTTAATTTGCATTTCCTTGATGACCATTGATGTTGAGCATCTTTTCATGTGCTTAGTGGCCTTCTTTATCTCTTCTGTGGTCAAATGTCTGTTGAGATCTTTGCCCATTTTTTAATTTGGTTGTTTGTCTACACATTATTGAGTTGTGAGAGTTCTTAGTATAGTCCGGATACAAGTTCTTTATCAGGATGTGTTTTGCAAGTGTTTTCTCTCAGTGTGTGGCTTGTCTTTATACTTCCTTAACAGTGTCTTTTAAAGAGCAGAAGTTTTAAATTTTGATCAAGTCCACTGACAGGGTTTAGAAGCAATAAGACTCCAATATCAATGAGCACACCTAGCGCCTAGATTTTGGTTTCTAAATATTGTTCTCTGCTAAAAGGCCCTTAGAGAAATAGCTGATTCCAGGGCTGAGACAGAAGGAGTACAAGATGAGCCTGGAATATCTTGCGTACCAAAAAGCAAGGAAGTGCTAGGGATTAGTCAAAAGCACATCAAACTATGTTGAAGGTTAAATCTGAGATAATTTGAGCATCAAAAGAAATAATAATAATAATGGATTACAGCCTACTGAATAAAATAGGAAACCATCATATAAATACCTCATAGAACCAGATAGATGTAAATAAGTAAACAGAGGAAAAATGAAAGTCCTTCTTTATGGTAAACGCCAACTAATAAATAGACGAAATGATGGAATTAGAAAATCACCATTTGGTAACCATCATGGTAATAATTTACTTAGGCAAGAATTATCAATTGGTGCTAAAATAAGTGGGTCAAATTTTGTTGAGGAACAGGAAATGTACATAGTTTCAAAATCTCTCTCCACAAAATGTATATTAATTATGAAGGAAAAAATAGTACCTTTACAGTGGAGAAACATGAAGATACTTCTTTCTTAAACAAATGATCAAAGATACCCTCACCAAAAAGCAACATTGTGCACCTCTTGATATCATGTACTGAGAAGGACATGGGATCACTTCTGTGGTGTTCCTGCCAAAGAGTGCATGATCTGACTCGATTCACATGGAAGCATCGGATGAATCCAAATTGACGGACATTCTATAAAATAACTGGCTTTCACTCTTCAAAAATATCAAGGTCACAAAAGACAAGGAAAGAATGAGGAACTATTTAGATTTAAGAAATTTGACTGCTAAATGCAACTTGTTATCCTAGATTGGATCATGGACCAGAAGAAGAAAAAACTATTGTTTTCTATTAAGAATGAGTACAAATTAACTCAAAATGGATCAAAGACTTGACAGTAAGACCTGAAACTATAAAACTCCTAGAAGAAAATATAGGCAGAACACTCTTTGACATCAGTCTTAGAGGGATCTTTTTGAAGTCCATGTCTACTCGGATAAGGGAAACAAAAGAAAAAATAAACAAGTGGGACTTCATCAGACTAAAGAGCTTCTGCAAGGCAAAAGAAACGAGGATCAAAATGAAAAGACAAGACAACCCACCAGCTGGGAGAAAATATTTGCAAATCATATATCTGACAAGGGGTTAACCTCCATAATATATAAAGAACTCATACAACTGAACAACAAAAAACCAAATAACCTGATCAAAAAATGGGCAGAGGATGTGAACAGACATTTCTCCAAGGAAGATATACAGATGGCCAATAGGCGTATGAAAAGATGTTCACCATCACTGATCATCAGGGAAATGCAAATCAAAACTATACTGAGATATCACCTTATACCCGTGAGAATGGCTATAATCACCAAGACAGAAAATAGCAAATGTTGGAGAGGATGTGGAGAAAAGGGAACCCTCATTCACTGCTGGTGAGCATGCAAACTGGTGCAGCCTCTATGGAAAACAGTATGGAAGAGTCCTCAAAAAATTAAAAGTAGAAATACCTTATGATCCAGCTATCCCACTTCTAGGTATTTATCCAAAGAACTTGAAATCGACAATCCAAAAAGGCTTATGCACCCCTATGTTCATTGCAGCATTATTATGCAGAATAATAAATAATATTCACTGTAGCCAAGAAGTGGAAGCAACCAAAGTGTCCACTGACAGATGATTGGATAAAGAAGATGTGATATATATATATACAATGGAATACTACTCAGCCATAAAAAAAGACAAAATTGTCCCATTTGCAACAACATGGATGGACCTGGAGGGCATTATGTTAAGTGACATAAGCCAGACAGAGAAAGACAAACACTGTATGACTTCATTCATATGTGGAATATAAACTAACACACAGACAGAACAGTTTGATGGTTACCAGGGGGAAGGGGGTGGGGAGTGGGTACAAAGGGTGACGCGGCACATTTATATGGTGAATGACAAATAATAATTTACAACTGGAATCTCACAATGTGTTATAAACTATTATGACATCAATAAAAAACGTTAAAAAAAAAAAAAAGAATCGAGGCTGGCCCTGTGGTGTAGTGGTTAAGTGTACGCGCTCTGCTGCTGGTGGCCCGGGTTCGGATCCTGGGCGTGCACCGATGCACTGCTTGTCAGGCCATGCTGTGGCGGCGTCCCATATAAAGTAGAGGAAGATGGGCATGGATGTTAGCCCAGGGCCAGTCTTCCTCAGCAAAAAGAAGAGGATTGACATAGATGTTAGCTCAGGGCTGATCTTCCTCACAGACACAAAAAAAGAAAAATCAGTACAATAAATATCCCAAACTTCTATTCCATGGAAATTCAGGCATAGTGCATCCTCCAAGAAAGAGGGAGAATCTCTGCATACTGTTTTTTGCAAGGTTGAATGATTTTTCAAATGTTTATTAATAATTTGTATTTTCTGTGTTGCAAACTATCTGCCATGTCTTTTATCCATTTTATCTTCATTGTAGGCATTTCCCAGTCTTAAGTATGTTAATTGATTTTTTCTTCTGTTTTAATTTTTTTAACTATAGAAGTAAAGCAGCTTCCTTGTTTAAAAAATAAATATAGCTTTTCGGCCGGAACCGCCATCTTCCAGTAATTTGCCAAAATGACCAACACAAAGGGAAAGAGGAGAGGCACCCGCTATATGTTCTCTAGGCCTTTTAGAAAACATGGAGTTGTTCCTTTGGCCACATATATGCGAATCTACAAGAAAGGTGATATTGTAGATATCAAGGGAATGGGCACTGTTCAAAAAGGAATGCCCCACAAATGTTACCATGGCAAAACTGGAAGGTGTACATACAGTGTCACCCAGCATGCTGTTGGCATTGTTGTAAACAAGCAAGTTAAGGGCAAGATTCTTGCCAAGAGAATTAATGTACGTATTGAGCATATTAAGCACTCTAAGAGCCGAGATAGCTTCCTGAAACGAGTGAAGGAAAATGATCAGAAAAAGAAGGAAGCCAAAGAGAAGGGTACTTGGGTTTAGCTGAAGCGCTAGCCTGCTCTACCCGGAGAAGCACACTTCGTGAGAACCAATGGAAAGGAGCCTGAGCTGCTGGAACCCATTCCCTATGAATTCATGGCATGATAGGTGAAAAAAAATAAAAGACTCCTGCACTGTAAAAAAAAAAAATAATAATAATAAATAAATAAATAAAAAATAAACTATATAAAAGGGCAGAAAAGAAAAAATGAAATCCCCCCTCATCTCCACAACCCACTCTCTAGATGTTCTCCCTTTGATTTCATTTTTTTAAAGTTTGCTTCCCACTCTTTTTCCTTCCTTTCACTCTTTAAAAATTTCTAAATATTTCTGTGAATTACTCATACAGCAAAAGCATATACCTTAATGGATGTAAGTATCCATGAAGTATGAAGACCTTGTAGCAAAGCATGTACATAATGGATACATAACCAGAAATAAGACCATAACTACATATAGTGAGCCAGTAGCTTAAATTCTGGGCTGTTGGAAACCATTAGATAGTCTTTGGTATTATCTTTAAAAAAAACACATCCACATAAGAGCTTTTTCACCCCTTTCTTAATTAACAATGTGAGTTGAAATTGGTAGTTGGCTAAACTCTGTATGGTGCACATTGAGGGTAGAGGTGAGTCTTCTCTTATAAGATTAACTGATCTTTTATTTTTTACCCTTCAGAGGATAATAGAATTTTAGAACTAAAGGGCCACTATAAATTCCTTTGAATCTCTTTATTTTATAGGTGAGAAACAAATGCTTGGAATATAGTAGGCATAAAATGAGGCCCATTTAGAGTAAATGACCTGGTCCTAGCCCTCCCTGAGTTAGTAACACTTGACCTCTGTTGTTTCAGTCAAAGAACCAAAATGTTAATAGTGAAGCTTTCACTCATTCATTTAACAAACATTTACTGAATGCCTAAGATACGGCATGCACCGGTCAGATGTTGTTATTTAATATTTTTAACTCTCAGGTCCCTGAAGAAGGGGAGTCATTCAGGTCATAAGTGATTTGTAAGTTAATAACTGTACATTCTGTGATATAGTGACCACTTGCTCGGTTTTCATTGCCTGTGAGGAAAGCCAGTTGCTTTAGCTGTCCTGGAGCCTGGAAGTGTGACCTGTGGCTGAGAAATAGGCCTCTCTGTGGGCTTGTTATGAACTGAACTTTTTTGTGTTTTTTTTTTCAGCTGGAAGAAGAGAGATCTGTGCTCAATAATCAGTTGTTAGAAATGAAAAAGAGGTAGGCTTTCTTTTTGTGTTTATTGCTGCGTGTGTGTGTTTAATAAGGAAAATGTTGGAACATGATGTGTACAGTGACTTGTAGAAAACATGCGACCTTCTTGTAATCAGAAAATTGCCTTGTGATAGTTTGGTATTCATATTTGACACATGAAAATTTATTTGCAAAAGTTTCAGTATTAATTATTAAAACAAAGAATAGTTTAATTTTTAAGCCATGTTCAGTTGCATTTACTCAGAAGTGTTCCAAAATCAGATTCTCCTGTTATACTGCTGTTACCTCCTAGTTTCAGTAACTAAAAATACTATAATTTACATAGAGTAATTGATCTGCATATAAATACTGATTTCAATTATATAAAAATTGTAATTTTTCAATAATAATGAGTAACTCCATTTTAAAGATTTTATTTATTAATTTTTTCCCCCCCAAAGCCCCAGTAGATTGTTGTACGTCATAGTTGCACATCCTTCCAGCTGCTGTATGTGGGACGCGGCCCCAGCATGGCCGGAGAAGTGGTGCGTCGGTGCGTGCCCGGGATCCGAACCCAGGCCGCCAGCAGCGGAGCGCGCGCACCCAACCGCCAAGCCACGGGGCCGGCCCAGTAACTCCATTTTAAATGCTTCTATTTATTTTCTAAAAAAGAGTTTGTTATTCTTTCATGATAATCAAATGATATTCAAATGGAAGCCTTCCAGTACTTTTGAGTAAGGATAAACAGGCCCACAGAAATAATCGTTTAGGGCTGGCCCCCTGGCTTAGCGGTTAAGTGCACGCGCTCCGCTGCTGGCGGCCCGGGTTCGGATCCCGGGCGCGCACCGACGCACTGCTTCTCCCGCCATGCTGAGGCCGCGTCCCACATACAGCAACTAGAAGGCTGTGCAGCTATGACATACAACTATCTACTGGGGCTTTGGGGGAAAAAATAAATAAATAAAAATTAAAAAAAAAAAAAGAAATAATCGTTTAGAAGCCCAATGCTAATACATCCTGAGAGTCTCTGTCTGCTCTTTAAAATGTGCAGTTTGTGTCTAGAGAAATTTTTTGCTTCGCATTGCATGCCCAGCAGGTTCAGTGTGTACTGTTGCTGAGACCACAGCCAGTGCTGTGGTTTGCTGTACAGTTCTGAATAGATGTGCATCACAACAGTGGCATGCTTTTTTCTTACTAACAAAACTAAAACTAAAATAAACCTTTAAGAACGGTATAATCAAGAATTCTTCTATACCTCAATTTAAAAAATAATAATAAAATAGAAAAAAATACTACAGAATTCCTCTATGCTCTTGCAAAGTATTTCATTCTTACCTGTCAGGGCAGAAGTTTCCCTTACCGATCACTGGCACGCGTGTTTGACACTGCCAGTGTCCCCTCCTACCAGCATGGCAGTTGCTTAGGAATTGAGGGCTTTATTTAGCCCACAAAGACATTTGGGTTCCGTAAGCTACATTCTAGAGGACATTAGGCCTCGGTCCAGGGGTGCCTTTCCTCACTCCTTTTTTTAATTAGGAAATACTCAGATTCATTCTTCTTTAAAGTTTCACACCAGAATGCATGTATGTTTCACGACAGCGATGCCCTTGGTCCAGCCTGGTGTTCTCCAAGTGACGATGAGCTGTGGTGACTGGTCTGCCATGCCTTAACCTAGTTCCTGTGTACAGGCACAGCTCTGCCCATGTGGTCCTTATTAATTTGACATAAATAAGGCTTTGTTTCTTTAAAAAGAACTTCATGTATGCAGTTATCAAGGATATGTGAAAAAATTAATAGGGCTTATTCTTGTGGAGGGAACATATAAATAAAAATGGGCTGGTGTAAATACTGACATAATCCCCTTGTATTTATGTAGCACTTCATAATTCACAAGTTTATCAAATGTCACAACAACCCAGTGGAATGCATGGCGGGGCTTGCATTTAAATACAAACTAAAGGGCCGGCCCCGTGGCTTAGCGGTTGAGTGCGCGCTCCGCTGCTGGCGGCCCGGGTTCGGAGAACGGGCGCGCACTGACGCGACGCTTCTCTGGCCATGCTGGGGCTGCGTCCCACATACAGCAACTAGAAGGATGTGCAACTATGACATACAACTATCTACTGGGGCTTTGGGGGAAAAATAAATAAATAAAATTATAAAAAAAAAAAAAATGCAAACTAAAGCCCTAAAGTTAGGCAACTGGGCTAGGAACTTGGATGCAAGCATAAGACCCAGGTCTTCAGATTTTTATGCTGGTTCTTTTCTCACTGTACATTTATTTAGTTTATTTATCATTACTTTTTAATCTTTTTTTACAAGAAAGATGCTGTGTTTTGTTAGTCCTCACCGTGTGACTTTAAATTACATGCCTTTCAACATGTGATTAGGCACGTGACTTTTTTCACCAGCTTAAAAAGATAGAACAAATTTGAGTACATGTCGAGTCCTCTCTTCTTATGTCACCATCTCTGCTCCCATTTTTAAGTCCTGGATATGTTTGAGAGTGTCTCTTGAAAATTACTCATTTTATCAGAAACGCAGATAAAGATGATAATTTTTCCTGTGAGCGAAAAATTTAAAAACCTAGTTTCTCATATTTAGAAGTGTTTTTTTGTCAAATTCTTAACCCTCATGGAAATTTGTGTCTGTTTCAGAAATCTGAATGCAAACGTATTTTAGCTAATAATTTGGGCTCTTAAGTGCCTTCTAACAGTCAGTTTGGTAAAAGATTCGTATGTAGGTCTATGTGTTAATAGTTAAGTACATATAGCATAGAGTAATAAAAAGAATTTGATATGCTCTTAATTTAAAAGTCTAGAAAGTACTTAAATCATAAAAATATTTGAAATATAGTTGTTCACGCAAGAACTAAGATCTTAGTCAACAGTTTAATTTAGAAGTGATAATTGAACATTCGTAGTCAAGATAGTATATAATTGCTTCATTCAAATGGTCGTTGTACTGAAGTGCATCTTGACTGTAGGATTAAACTACTTACCATTAAGAGATTAGTAGCAACCTCCTGTATTTGCTGTGGTTTTTGGTATCTAAACATTGAATTGCAAGCATTATGTAGTAAAGGTTTTTCTCTTAGCTTAAAATGTAATCATTTCTTTGGAAAACTGGTCTCCAAGTTAGGCAAACCTTTTTCAAAACAGATTCCAAGATGTCTAGTAGATAAAGCAGAGCCAACCTTGACTTGCTGTAGTTGACAGAAGTGGAGAAGTGTGTTCCTCTGACTGCTCAAGCCTACAGCAGGTTTGGGAACTTGGCTTCCCTCCCTTCTCTAGGCTTTTTGATATCAAAGAAGGGACTCCAGAGCCAAAATCTTAGGTGTGGACTTTTTGGAGTCAGAATTAATTCTGTTAGTGTAAACACAAGACGTCTGTCAGGAATGAAACCTGGTACCATCGCCAGTTCTGACGAGGTCCCGTGCTCCTCCAGCTCATTAGGCTCACTGTGGGTTGCTAACTGTCTGACTGTCTCCAAGCTTGCGCTACTTATCAATGCTCATTTCACCCCTCTCTTTTCCCTTTCCTACTCTTGCTTCCTTTGCTATATCTGTGTGTCTTTAATGGTAAGACTAAAGAAAGTCTATCCACGTTATAATAAATAAATTTCATAAATTTTTAGTAAACCAAATGGTTGTATATATTTTTTGGCTGCCTTTGTCCCTCTGTGTCTTGCTTTTGTTTTGTAAAATATTCTCAGCAGTATATACATAAACACACACACACACACACATATATCTTTTTTATACCTATAAATAGCAAAGAACTTCTGTGCAAATTTAGTTCTCCTTACTGTATTTGCATTTCTCTTCATGTTTCTAATATTTGGTTCTTGTTATCTTGCATTTTTAAAGCTTGCCCAGTAACACTTTAAGGTATTTGCTTCATTACTGGAATTTATTTCTTATGTAAGTAGTAAGGAAAGAATCTGGGTGATATGCTCTCCTGGGGGAAAGATTTCTGGCCCCTATAGCCCTTCTTTCATGTTATGTTTATCTTTCCTTCTTGATGTTTTTAGTAACACCAAGTCATTCTAGCCAATGTGGCTTAAAAGTAACACAGGCCCTCCTGTCAGTGTGATTTGTGACTCAGGTGTCAGTAATGTTGGCATAAATGGTTTAATTTAGCCCCTCTTGGTTTGCACAGTGGGATTAGGCCTTAGAAATAGCCTAAGAAGCCGGCAATGAAGATCTATCACAAAGATGAGATGCCAAAGTCTATTTGTCCTGTCATTTGGTATATAAATCACAAGTCAGATCCCTTTCTTAAGCGTGCATCTTTGTTAACTTGTGTAAGAAACATTCTATTTCCATCTTCTTAGAAAGCAGCCTCACTTAGAGGTTATGTGTATGTGATGATAAGCAGACAAAGATACCTATACATTTTTCCTTCTGCCAGCTGATGGTGTCTTTATCCTTCCCTAACAAAGAATCTGTGAGATCTTGCCTAACTAGAGTCTGATTATAGAAGAATCTAAATCTGTTCAACAACCCCCAAATCTTGGTATTTTTCAGTAAAAACATTTAAAATTACGTTTTTCAAATTTGACTTGGATTTATAATGAATGAAGCTCTTGAAATAGTTTTTACAGGGCCGGCTCCGTGGCTTAGCGGTTAAGTGCGCGCGCTCTGATGCTGGCGGCCCGGGTTCGGATCCCGGGCAAGCCCCAAGGCGCCGCTTCTCCGTCCAGCGCGAGGCCGAGTCCCACGTGCAGCAACTAGAAGGATGTGAACCTATGGCATACAACTATCTACTGGGGCTTTGGGGGGAAAAAATGAATAAATAAAATCTTTAAAAAAAAAAAAAAAAGAAATAGTTTTTACAAATAGAATAAACTAGCAAATAAATTTAACAGAAACTTAAGGAGCCCAAGACTTATTGAATCTTTGGCTAACATCAGATATTCACTATCAGATGGAAGAAGTGCCTGTACATTCCTTCCTTTAAAATCTTTGTTTTTGTTTTAAACTAACCAAGATCCTATTTCCTAGCAAGGTGGTATTCACTTAGTAATTTAACAGCACCAATATCCACCCCCTTCCATTGTACATAGAACGTTTGGGTGTTGAATTCAAGAAATTTCTGTAAGTCTCAGATTCTTTTCTTACTATTTTCATTCTGGAGTGTAAGCGTAAGCCACTCAATGAGATAAATACAACACTTATATTTTCATCTTTGTGTAGAATTTCAATTTACCATAAATCATGAGAATTTTGTAATTCGTGTGCCGGATATCTTGGGTCTCACTAACCAGACATATGTTCTGCCATTTCTAACTTGGGCCTCAGTTTCCGATTCCTCCAGTCAGTTCTGAAACAGACTGAACCATTACATGCTCCACGTTCACCGAGTTACTTCTAATAGAGTAATTTGGCTTGTTGTTATTAAGTTATGAACTCTCACTGATGATTATTTACATTAATGCAGTGTCTCAGGGTGTGTGGCCTGAGGGCTAGCTAGGAAATGTTTCTCTAGTTTTGTTTTTCCCAAAATATTTTTGTGATACAAGATCTTTTTCCTCTTCACACTGCATGTAATTTTTAAAATCTTTTTATTTTAAAAATAATTTTAGATTTACAGAAGAGTTGAAGGTAGTACAGAGAGTTCCCATATACCCTGCACCCAGCTTCTCCTAATGTGAACATCTTACATTCCCTGGTGCATTTAGCAAAACTAAGAAAGTCACATTGGCACAGTACTCCTAGCTAGGCTCTAGGCTTAGTCAGATTTCCCCACTTTTTCCATTAACCTCTTTTTTCTCTTCCAGGATCCAATCTAGGAAACCACATTGCATTCAGTTGTCATATCTCCTTAGTCTCCTCCAATCTGTGACAGTTCCTCAGTCTTTCCTTGTCTTTGATGGCCTTGGCACTTTGGAATGCATGTAATTTTTACAACAAAAACGTAAACACATACACATGTATAAACACAGAGTAGCCTGCCCTTTGGGGTTGTATCTTTTGTGTCTTGCCCTCCCTCCTTGCCCCCCTCATCTTTCCCTTTCTTCTCCCACTCCCTAAATGTTTCCCTCTCATTAAAGGCCTGGTGCCCCTCCCTCTGCTGATAACCAAATGCTGCATCAGGCTGAGAACAGAAACCAAGTGCTCTGACCCTCTCCCTCCCGGCTCCCCCATGCTTTCCTTCTACGCCTGGAAATCCATTGTAACATTTCTGTTCTAGCCTTTATGTAATTACCTTTAATTTCTATGAGCAACTTAATGTCCTCTTCAGATTCTATGGATGAAAAGTAATAATCTTTCAGTTTGAATAGTAATAATAATCTTTGCTACTGTTTTGGCCCATAGATCTCAAAAACACATTCTTGGAACTTGCTAAAAGTTACTGAAATTAGTGAGAACCAATTGATACTTCCAGCATAAAACTGCTCTGCATGACATCTGTATAATCGCTTTGCATGTGTGTATTTTAATTGTTGTTATTGCTTGGTAATAATTTATTCAAGAAGTAACAGAATTCAACTCGGGGTTAGCTTTTTTAAAGAATTCTTTGGGGGTACAACAGTCTTGTTCTGTTTTTTTAATTTTACGTCTTCCAAAGTTATTAACTTGTTTCTTTAAATTCAAATGGATACAATGATATGCAGATTCTGGCATGTCTATGCATAGGTAAACTTTTTCTCCCCTCACAGTAAGTAAAATTTCAAGTACAATTTTGCAAGCATAATAGCCTTAACCCCTTATAAACCTCCCTGTGATACTTTTTTTCTTACATTAACTGACGTTAATTGTGTGTTTGTTCTAGGACAGTTGTAAACTGACCACTCTCTCGGTTGATTTCTGGAATTTTTTTTAACTCTTTGGTCTTTTAGAGAATCCAAGTTAATAAAAGACACAGATGAAGAAAAAGCTTCCTTGCAGAAATCCATCAGTATTACTAGTGCCTTACTCACAGAAAAGGACGCAGAGCTGGAGAAGCTGAGGAATGAGGTAGAGTACCAGCTACGGTGAACGCTCACACTGCCTCTTTGTGTGCTTACTCCGAGCCTAAGTTAAACCACTGTGTTTCAGGTCACAGTGCTCAGGGGAGAAAACGCCTCTGCCAAGTCCTTGCATTCAGTTGTTCAGTCTCTAGAGTCTGATAAGGTGAAGCTTGAGCTCAAGGTAAAGAACTTGGAGCTTCAACTCAAAGAAAACAAGAGGCAGCTCAGCAGCTCCTCAGGTAAATGATGACCGCGTGGCACTTCTTTCCAACCCTGCTGCTTCCTGCAGAGGAGCCGTTCCGGGTAGAGATGCCCTTTGAAGGGGCTGTTGTGCTGCCCCTGACTTGACCCATCTGTCCTTGGCTCTCCCACCATTTAATCAGATGAGGGCTGGTCACAACCTGGGTGCCACACACGGGGGCGTGCCTGGTATCCCCACTCTGGACCTTCCTGTGGTCTTGAGGGTTGGCAGAGATATAAGATGGTAGGTGATAGCTGCCATCCCAGTAGCAACTGTGGGTCCTGAAAGTGCACTGCAGTGAAGGAGAACAGAGATGGTCCCTTTGTGAGAGAACGATAGTTGCTTCTTTAAATTCAGATGGATGTGAGGGCATTCTTACTCAGCAGTGGGCCAGCCTGAGAGAGAACACCTGAGGGGTGGGGTAAGCGTCTAGGTAGATCCCGTAGGGGTCCAGACATGGGACAGGAACTCATGAAGAAGTTCTCAAAGAGGCGCATCTGGGAATTCCACGTGAAGATGAATTTCTAACACTGGCCCTTTCATTGCAATAACAAGGAAAAAAGATTGTGATTTTTTAAAAAATCCCCCCTCCACTTTTACTTATTTATTTTTTTAATATAAGGTAATACTGATACTCAGGCAGAAGAAGATGAAAGAGCCCAAGAGAGTCAGGTAATATTCCTTCCTTTTGCTTTGCTTACTTGCTATTTTTGAAAGTCATTTAATCTTTTGAATAGGTAATACATTCATACAGTCTAAACATTAACCAATGTTAAAAATATATACAGTAAAAAATCTCCCTCCAACCACTGTCTCTCTCCTGTTCAGTTCCCACTCCCCCAAACAGGTAATCACTATTATTAGTGTCTTTTTTTTAAATCTCTTCTGAGACTTTAAAAAATGTATATATAAGCCAAGACTAATACAGTATTTTTCCTCTTCTTTTTTACATAAATGGTGGCATATTACATAAATTGTTCTGCACTTATTTTTTTATAGCCATATAGTATTCCATTACATGGCCATACTATAATTTAATGAGTTCCCCATTGGTTGACGTGACATTTAGGATGTTTCTGATCTTTTAGGTGTATTGTAAACATCTATAATTTTGCAGATATACCATTATTTCTTTAGGATAAATTCCTAGAAGTAGAATTGCTTTGTCAAAAGGTTCCTTGCTTGTCTTTACCTTAAAAATATGGGGTTCTTGAAAATTGAGTCCTAAAGCCAAAATTATCAAAACAGCCTTAGTTTTAAAAATGGGATTATATGGAAGCAAACTATTCTATATTTGGAAATATAATAGCACATAAGCAACTAACATCCATCTTCACTTTTAATGATGTATTTTGGGTGTATTTATCCTATTTAAAATTCAAAGGTACAAAAGCCATCTTTTACTTTTAAATAAAAGAAAAACTCAGTGAGTTTGTAATTTGTTTTAGTTATCTGACATCTCCTTTGAAAGGCATGAAAGGATTCAACAAATGTACTAACTTACCCTGGAGAGCATTGTCTGCTTAGTTTGTATGTCTCATAAGCATAAACTTAATTAACAGTGTTTTCTCTTTTCCCCTTTCCTTTCTGCTTCTGTTTGTTTCATCTGCCGCTGCCAACACTTTCTTCCAATCAGCAAATGGTTTGTTTTATGTTTCCTAATTTGCGAGAACGTGTTTGTGTGTGTGTGTCTGGTTTCCCACTTTTACATCCATGTTGTGGCTTTTTTTCCTTCGTGAAATGGATTTCCTAACAGAATAAAGTCTTAGAAAATGCAGTTTGAGAAGTGCAAAGAGATTCAGTGGGTCTGCCTTTGATGTTAGAAGGAATGTTCTGCAGAGGGTCACAAAGCTAGTGACTGCTAGCTTTGTTTCGTAACTTGCCCCAGCAGGAAAAGGCCAAATATTTCTTTAAAAAGTGAAATATGTATGTATGTGAATATATACATACACACATATATATTTTTTAATATTGTAAAGGGACTTTTTTCAATGGATATTTAGAGAAATGAGACCTTTTTATTATTTGTAGAAGAGGGAAGAATCTTTTTGTTTTTAATAATATATTTTGTCCTCTTGGTTTGAAAGGAGATGTTAAGACCAGAGCATTTCCTCCTGATGGTCATCTCGTTATCCCACTGCCCAGTGCGTCTTGGCACAGGGCTCTTCCTACTGTGGTACCTGAACGCTGCCCTGTCAGTGGGTGCCTAAGTGTCTCCTCAGTTGAAAGGGAGCTTGAGCCTTCTCTTTAAAACTCCTTCGCGGCCGGCCCCATGGCTTAGTGGTTGAGTGCGTGCGCTCCGCGGCTGGTGGCCCGGGTTCGGATCCCGGGCGCACACCGACGCACCACTTCTCCGGCCATGCTGAGGCCTCGTCCCACATACAGCAACTAGAAGGATGTGCAACTATGACATACAACTATCTACTGAGGCTTTAGGGGGTGGTGGGGGGGATTAAAACTCCTTCATTTTCTTCTGAAGACGTATTTACCATCCCACCATGACCAATCAGTGTTAAATGGTGGGCTGAGGAGAATTTCCATGAACTTTTTCAAATCTGCAAAACGTAAAAGTCCTGGATTGTTTCTACAGTTTAATAGAACAACTAACTGGTTATGCTTTTTGTAAAATTTTGTATGTGTGTGTATATATAAACTATGGGTTCAGTAACAGCCACTGTTGGCCCCTTCTGTGACGTCCAGCACCCTCTGCAGCCTGAGTGTAGCATGAGAGTATACTCCCATGACTCCTTGATAGTCCAGCATACACGTTTTAGACGTTTTACACGTGTTTTCTTTTCTTTTTCCTGAACAAATCAGATTGATTTCCTAAATTCAGTAATAGTGGACCTTCAGAGGAAGAATCAAGACCTCAAGATGAAAGTGGAAATGATGTCAGAAGCAGCCCTTAATGGGAATGGTGATGACTTAAACAATTATGACAGGTATTTCATATTAAGCAATACTGATTGGAACCTTAGTTCCATTTAAATAAATGTGTGTTTTTAAAGTTAGGTTCTCCACTGGATTGAAGAAACAATTGCTTTGTGGTTATATGGCTATAAATCTGGAAAGAGAGTGATACACTACAAATGGTTTGACATGAAAATTTTAAATGTGGACTGTAGTACTTTCACTTGAGGTTCCCAGACTTGGCCATAATTCGTTCTTGCTTGTTTTTTATTCTTTACAAATGATATTGTCTCTTGAATTTCTTCTGATAGAGATGAGTTTCTGATTATACACGTTAACATTTGTAGTGATGACCAGGAGAAACAGTCCAAGAAGAAACCTCGCCTCTTCTGTGACATATGTGACTGCTTTGATCTCCATGACACAGAGGATTGTCCTACCCAGGCACAGATGTCTGAGGACCCCCCCCATTCCACACACCACGGCAGTCGGAGCGAGGAGCGCCCGTACTGTGAAATCTGTGAGATGTTTGGGCACTGGGCAACCAACTGCAATGACGACGAGACCTTCTGATGAAAACTCAAATCATGAACTGGGCTTGCTCAGATGCACTAGCATTTAGGCAACTGAACACCAGCATTGTGTGTGCAGACTTCAGGAGAACTCACGTTATTTTTGACCCCCATCAACAAATCTAAGAAAATATTTTGATCTTCAACAAATTGCCCTTTTAGTCTCCCCCTATAAGTTAGAATAATAAATGCTTAGTAGGTGAGTTTTCACCTCTAATTTTGTCTTCTTGATTTTTAAAAGTTTTAACAAGACATTGCACCAGATGCCATTACATTTGTTGTCCCTAGGGAATCTCAGAGAACAGCCCCCACCCTTACGATACCTTATTTAAGTACCTTTAAGTTAAGCCGTTACTTTTCATATTTGCACTAAAATATTTTCAGGCTGCATTTGTATATTTAGATGTTTTGGTTAAGCTTTGACACTGGAATGAGTTGAAAAAAAGTGCCATTTTGCATTTTCATCTACTCCTTTAAAGTATTTTATTCTTAATCAAAGAAATATCTGAGCTCTTTGCACTACCTGATGTCAGTAGTGCCTTTATTTCAAGCTTTGATAATACATGGGTGTGATTATAAAATCATGAAACAGGTAAAGGGAGGAGAAAGCCCCAAAACTGCTGTGGGGACATTTTATAATCTATATGCTGCACCCACTTACACTACTGTAGTGTTTTGTTTATTGGTTTTGCATAATTTCAGCTTCTATATATGTATATATTTTTTAAAATCTATATTTTGGGAAAAACATACACAATGTATCTTTCTTTTCAGATTTTTACCTTTATGAAAAAGAAAACACTTAAAATGTTCATCAGGACATAATAGACTAGGCCAGAAATAGTATCACGTAGCTTTGCAACTAGTTTTTCTGTTGTTTCTATTTTGTTTATCAGCTATAAATGGGAAAATTTTCTCCAAAATTTTTTTTCCTTCTCCAGCAGACATCCCCAGCAGTCAGTTAATTAGATAATAAGCCACTTATAAAACATCTAAATTAACCAATCTACAATCTTTACAAGTTTTTTTTACTGTGTTTTTAGAATGAATGTATGATGAGAAATTCAACATAAATAATTTTGGATTTTCTTATCACAAAAAATAAAATGAAGGACCTCAGCCACCAGAAGCTTATCAGCCAGTTTCAATCTATTTATCTTCATTTGAATGTCTTCTAGAATATGTAAAAAGTAATAAATAAATGTATCTTCCATGCTACATGTATAATAAGAACTTCTATAATTGTATATATGCCTTTGATGTATTTTCCCCTCAAGATTATCAACTGTGTGTTGACAAGTGAAAAATAAATTGGTAATCAGTTAAAATTTTTGGTTATAAACATAATAGGAATTATTTCACAAACTATGTAAAGCAGTATTAAAATTTGGGCAAACAAGTGTTCTGTATCTACTTTAATAAATGGTTGTTCTTTTTTGCCTGTGGTAGTAAACTGATATTCTCAGGTTTATTTGTCGTAATGGTTTTTCTCCAAATGAGCAGGCACTATAGATCCAAATAACAGTTTCTACTGCAGTCGTGTTGAAACAACTTTTAAGAAATTGGTTTATCGTTCTTAAAGCATTCTATGACCCATTTAGCATAAAATAAATATCTAAGGTTGTTTTCTATTGGTATATCACACTATATTACCTGACAAAAATATAAGTGGCACCATCTAGGACTAACCATCTATGAATCCATGAGTTTTGGAAAGAAACTGTGTGAAAGTTGCTGTGATATTTACCAGAATGATTACTGACCCAAACATCTATTGTATGAGCACAGACTCCCCCCAGAGTTAGTTGGACAAGAACATTACTTTTACCTGAATAATACCCTGACAGGAGTCCTTGACTTCAGTATTGCCCGTAGGGGAATAAAAGACTCAAACTATTAACTAAACTTACTGTGGTAATCATTTTGCCACATATACATATATCAAATCTGTGTTGTACACCTGAAACTAATACAATGTTACATGTCAATTATATCTCAATAAAAAAAAAAGAATACTAAGCAAGTCTGCAATATTTATGGGGCAACTACAGCAGTATAGCAATGTCTCCAATCATTGGGTCTCTATAGGAAGTAAAGCACCTGTGTTGATCATCTGGATTCTGTTTGAGGATAGTTTATCCTGGTCTTGCTCGTTTACACTCATGTGTCCTTGAGATTTCACTAGCCTTGGTCATTTTACCCTTTAGAGTAAGTTGTGCTCCTGACATAGCCTGCTGAGCTCAACATTTATTCTCACAGATGGTGCTAAAATAATATGCATTCTCAGTTGAACACAACCCCGCACATGTGAGAAGAATTTGTGATACAGGCAGAAAATCACTGTGAAAACCGGGTTGAGAAATGCCACGGAACAGTATGCATAAGTGAAAACAAGTTATTTTAAAATAAATGACTTTGATGGAATCGTGAAATTGAGAGTGGAAGTATATGTGTATGATTGATTGACTGCTTTTCTGCATTTCCAAATTCCGCGTTTTTTACTCAGACCCCATGGTAATTGCTTAGCGAGTCCTTTCTTCATAACATAAAGTGTTAGATTGAAGGGAGCCATGCACTCGAAGACCAAACATTTTCAAGCCTCTTTCACCAGATCCCAAATAGCCAATTTCCACCTCAAAGTATCGAAACACGTATGTCATCCTAAAGCAACAGTTATTATTTATTGAGCAATTAAATTCTAGGCACTCTGCTAAACTTTTTATATGAATTACACGATGTGAGTTACATCCTTTTTAATCCTCACAACTCACAACATGCGAATTTTCTGATGAAGCGAGTGGTGGGGCCTGGATTCCACATCGGATAGTATTTATGTGAAACATCCCGTCGCAGTGAAAGTAGACTAGGAAGAACTGAACAGACAAGTACTTGAGGTTGCCTCAGCTGCTGGCCGTTTTGTAAAGTTCAGCCCACGCACCAAAAGAGTAAAGAGTAAAACGACGGACCTTTTGATTGCCATAATTTAGAAGATTTCCATTCAAGTTTAGCTTCAAGTTACCATTTTACAGCGAGTACGCTTGCTGCTAAGAAGAAAGTCGCGATTTTTAAACGGGACGAGTAGGACGCAGTCTCCGTCTTTAAACTCAAGTCTCAGCGCCCAACGACCCCCGGACTGAGGAAGGTCGGGACCCGGCGGTCGGTCTTGCGAGGGTGCCAGAACCCACGCGGTAGAGGAAAGCGGCGGGCGCTAGGGCCAGAAAAGAGAGCGGCAGACGCCGGCAGGTTCCGGTTTCCGGGTTTGGCGTGTTGCGGCGGCCCGGGTCACGTGATCGCTCCGTCACGTGACTGCGTTCGTGGGCCTCGCGTAGGGGAAAGCGGACGCGGTTGGATTGAGGGGGAAAAGAGGGCGGTGGCGCGAGATGGCGGCGCACTTGTCCTACGGCCGAGTGAACCTGAACGTGCTGCGCGAGGCGGTGCGTCGCGAGCTCCGCGAGTTTCTGGACAAGTGCGCAGGAAGCAAGGTGAGGGACAGTATGCGGCGACACTGCCCTCAAGCCCCGTCTGGCCTGGCGTAATCCCGTCCCCGACCGCCTGAGCCCAGGTGTACGAGGTTCCCTTGGGCTTCCAGGAGGGCGAGCAGTGGGGAACGATGAGGCGGGGAGAGGGGCCCGCTGGTGGGGCCTGTGTCGTACAGCCTGGAGTCGGCATGGCATCGCGATTGTTTTGTGGCAGCACAATAAACCACCGTGATATCTCAGCTCCTCGTGAACCAGCTGTGTCAGGTGCCCTTTAGATCCAGGGGGCAGATCTGGTGCCCCTTGAGACACTGGGACGGGTGAGGCGGGCCTGGCCCAAGGACATAGAGATTCCAGTGGCCTTTCATTACGACTATCGTACGTGTCGTTACACATCGTACTTTCGAAAGTCTCTGAAGCGCCAACACCTTACAACCTGATGCTCACACGGATTATGAGAGTTGTTGTTTGAGGTTTTGACGTGACCTTCCTAAATTAGGATTGTTTCTCCTGTTAGGCGTTTAGTAGCACCCAGCTCACAATTGAGTCTGAAACCGTAGATCAAAGACTTGATAGGATTTCTTTGAAGTGGTGTTACCTCTCCTCTCTCACCCTAGGATTTATCAGTCCCCTTAAGTAACTGGCAGTACAACTCGGAAGAGAAAAGGAGAACTGGAGAAACTCAGGAATCAGTCTTAGAAAGAACAGAACCCCAAGAAGTAGAGTGGGCGCTGGCAGCCATTGACAATGAGAAGACGAGCAGGCTGGATCCTAGGTGTCCAGTTCAAACTCTGGAATTGAGCTGAAATCTGAATAAGATCATGGATTGGATCAGTGTCAATATCCTGGTTGTAATATTGTCCTGTAGTTTTGTGAAATGTTACTATTGGGTGAAACTGGGCAAAGTGTACAAGAGATCTCTCTCTGTTATTTCTTACAACTGAATGTTAATCTACAGTTATGTCAACAAAAATTTCTGTTTAAAAAAGAAAGAAAAAGAAATGGAGAAAAAGAAATGGTACTGGAGTTGAGCAGTAGAAATGCTCATAGGGGCCCAGAGCAATGACCTGTGGGATTATTAAGTCGTAGGCTGGAATCCTGACTCCCTTATTGTATATACAGTGTCCAAGGTCCCTGTATGGCCTTGGACATGTTACTTAAACTTTCTGAGCCTTTAAAAATTTCCTCTTCTGGGCCGGCTCCGTGGCTTGGCGGTTAAGTGCGCGCGCTCTGATGCTGGCGGCCCGGGTTCGGATCCCGGGCACGCCCCAAGGCACCACTTCTCCGTCCAACCCGGGGCCGGGTCCCACATGCAGCAACTGGAAGGATGCGAACCTATGACATACAACTATCTACTGGGGCTTTGGGGGGAAAAAAATGAATAAATAAAATCTTTAAAAAAAAAAAAAAATTTCCTCTTCTGTCAAAATAATATTTGTAATACCTATATCAGAGGTTTTAATTTTATATAATTGGATTATATAATATTTATATATAAAATAGTAGCTGGAACTATTGCCATTTGCAGCTTGCATATGGTTCAATCTAATAACACTATGACATAGATACACAACAAACCACAGTTCCTTCTTTCTCGTGAGGACAGTGATGAACATTCCTGTGACCATCACTTGCCCCTGATGCTGTTTTTCTTTAGACCTGTAGGATATGATTGTGGTCAGAGCCAATTAAAATTTTTGTTAATTCAGAGTTTGAAGCACTACTGTGTATGACTGCTATTTTGTGTTGATATTGTTGAAATTCCTGATATTAACCATAGTAAGAGAACATTTCTCCCCTCCTGTAGGCAATAGTTTGGGATGAGTACCTCACAGGACCATTTGGCCTGATTGCACAGTATTCACTACTGAAGGTAAATGAGCTATTTGGGTTTTGTTCAGGGATTAATAATTCTGTACTTTAGCAGTAATAATAGGATTTTACATTTCCTCATGAGTAATTAGCTTGTAAAGCTATCTGGTCTTGATAAACACTGATACTAATTAATGTGTGATTATCATTTTGTATACAGTAGTCCTTTGGCCGGGGTTTATCCTGATCCTAATTCTAGGGAAACTACTGGCATTGTATTATGTGACTGTTACCTTGTATCTTTGATAGTTCATCCTGTGAGAGTCATTTGAATTCAGATGCAGTAGCAGTGACTTCATCCTGAAACTTTGTCCTTTATACATCTGGCTTTGGGGGATCTAAATTTTGATAATAAAGTTTTAACGTGCATTTGACTGGGAGTATTTATGACGTCTGAGTCTGGATATGATAGGTAAGTTTCGGGTTTCTCATTAACCTTTTGTGTATGTGTTTTCCTAGGAACATGAAGTGGAAAAAATGTTTACACTTAAAGGAAGTCGTTTGCCAGCAGCTGATGTCAAGAATATTATTTTTTTGGTCAGACCCAGGCTAGAATTGATGGATATAATTGCTGAAAATGTGCTCAGGTATCTCTCAGAGCTTTTGTTTGGGCCAGAAGAGGTTGGTCCTGCTAATAGTTTTAACGTACTGAGCTCTTCATTGCAACCCCCTTCTCTTGCTAGTGCGTTGGAAGGTGGTCTTTTGGAAAACTGGGACAGGCATGAAAGAATACAAGAGGGGGCATGGGAAACTTGTGAAGTTGTTCAAACAGTTTGAGAGGGAGGGTCATCATATAACCCCTTCTTTCAGGACAGCTAGAAGTCTGGACCTGTTTCAGTAGAAAGGACCCTGATTGAAAAAACAAAACCTCTAATGGTTATTTTTCAATATACTGAATATAGTGTGCTTGAATTTCATAAGCAAAATAAGTAAGAGCTGATTAAAATTTAATATAGCATCCAATTTATAGAGGAAGTTCTCCTAGCCCAGTCTGTGGTACAGTTGATTGCAGTGGCCCCTAAAATCTTAAAAGCACATGGGCTATTTTGGGAACTTCACTGTCGAGAGTAGAGGTGGGAGTCAAGAGTCATCTTTGATTTTAATGTAAGACTCTGTGTTACTGCATTGGTTGGGTTGAAGAACCATTTGTTTTCAATAAGACATGGATATCCTGTTGCAATAAACCTGAGAGCTTTAATGCCCCATAAAAGGTTTAAGAGAAAGCTAGAAAATGCATCACAAAATACTGACTATGAATCAATGCTTCTTTCCTGTCAGGGGTGAAAAAAAGAAAAGTGAGAGCAAGAGAGGAGCTATAACAATTTGGGTCTGAAAGTCAATATGCGTATGTTTATGTAACCAGCATTTATTTAGTGCCTGCTTTGTGCCAGGCAGTGGGCTAGGCTCTAGGGATAAACTAAGCGAAATAGCCTGTGACTAAGAATCTCATAAGCTAACAGATGTTACTTTTTTGCAGTGAAGACAGACGTGGCCCAGCAAGAGATTTCCACATTTTGTTTGTGCCACGACGTAGCTTATTGTGCGAACAGCGGTTGAAGGATCTGGGTGTTTTGGGATCCTTTATTCACAGGGAAGAGTACAGCCTAGATCTCATTCCGTTTGATGGGGATCTCTTATCCATGGAATCAGAGGGTGCATTCAAAGTAAGTTTGACATTTTCTTTTTCAATGTCATACTTTAACTTTTGCCAAATTTATGAGGGTCCATTAGCAGTCACTCCCTATCCCACCCTCCCCAGCCACTGGCAATCGCTAGTCTGTTGCAGTCTGTATGCATTTGCCTATCCTGGAGATTTCTTTTCTCTTTTTTTTTTTTTTGGCAAGGAGGATTAGCCCTGAGCTAACATCTATGGCAGTCTTCCTCTATTTTGTATGTGGGTTGCCGCAACAGTGTGGCTTGATGAGTGGTGTAGGTCCGTGCCCAGAATCCAAACCCACGAACCCGGGCCACTGAAGTGAAGCATGCCAGACTTAACCACTACACCATGGGGCCGGTCCCACCTTGTGTTTTCTTAATGTGATCACATTTATCTGTATTTCCTTTGATTTATGGGTTTGTGACGCTGATGCTACTCGTCTGGGGAATGTTTGAGAACCACTGGTGTCGTACAAAAAATTATTTTTCTTCCCCAGTATGTTTTTACGATGATCACCAGCTTAAAAGAGTTAAATTGGGGGAGAACTCAGGGGCACCACTGATTAGTTCTATACCCAAGAGAGTTTCTTGGCTCTTTTTTGCCATGTTCCCATTGCTTTGCTTACACCACATCTCATCCGATGAAGTACAGACTTTAAAACCCTAACATTTTATATGAAAAATTTCAAACATACTGAAAAGTTGAAAGAATTGTACGGAGAACACCCATATACCCATCACCTAGATTCTGGAATTAACATTTTGCTATATTCACTTTATCATTTATCTGTAGTAGTGTACCCATGTATAATTAATTCACATCATGTAATTAATATGAATTGGTAGCAGCTGAGGAAAACTTGTCTGGACAAAACCTGTCCAGAGGAGAGATTTCCTGTTGTTTATTTGAGGATTTGCAAAAAAGGATAGAGTGTTTTTCTGCTGAGAATTTCAAGCCTTTGGCTTTGTCTATTCACTGAAGATTCTGTTTTAGAAATCAAGGATTTTGGGGCCGGCCCCGTGGCGTAGCGGTTAAGTGCGTGCACTCTGCTGCTGGCAGCCCGGGTTCGGATCCCAGGCGTGCGTGGAGGCACCGCTTGTCAAGCCATGCTGTGGCAGCGTCCCATATAGAGTAGAGGAAGATGGGCACAGATGTTAGCCCAGGGCCCATCTTCCTCAGCAAAAAGTGGAGGATTGGCATGGAATCTTCCTCACAAAAAAAAAAAAAAAAAAAGAAATCAAGGATTTTGCCTGGATGATAAAGCTAAGAGTTCTACCTAATATTAAATTCAACCACAATTTCTGATGGAGCTAATTTTACTTATTTATGTGATTTTTAAACAATGAGCATAATTTAGCAGGTTTTGGCATCAGGAGGCACATGTAGATCTTTCTGTGTTTTGGGATATGATTATGATCATCTCCATCATTGTACTGAAGAAATGTGAGAATTAGCGTTCAGCCAGTCGAATTCTCAGTAGCAGGGCTTAACATATTGCAGCCTTCATTTGTATATATAAAAATCAGTATATATAAAATAATATCTCATTTGTAAAAACTGCAAGGTACTCTATTGTGTAGGCATGTGGGACTTTGAGGTCAAAAAATATGTGTATTTAAATGTTAAATGGGTATTAGCATTTGTCCCTTCCAAAATGTCCTCATGGCTTGAAATACCATGTGGAATTCGACAAGTGCAGAATAGAGTTGGGATATTAATACAAATAGTCAATTCACCACCAATTATATTAGAGCAAAAAAAATCAGGATTAATATCTGTTAACTTTTAAACCTTTTTTTTTTTTCCTGTGGTGACAAAGATTAGCCCTGAGCTAACATCTGTTCCCAATCCTCCTCTTTTTGCTGAGGAAGATTGGCCCTGGGCTAACATCTGTGCCCATCTTCCTCTACTTTATATGGGATGCCTGCCACAGCATGGCTTGATAAGCGGGCATAGGTGCACGCCCAGGATCCGAAACTGCAAACCCAGGGCTGCCAAAGCGGAGCACGTGAACTTAACCACTGTGCCACTGGGCTGGCCGCTTAAACCTTTTTTAAAAGATGGAATTATAAAAGGAATGTCTTTGTAGTAACACAGCTTTTTAAATAAAAAATATGAACGCTGGTGCTAGCCCCATCGAGTAGTGGTTAAGTTCGACGTGCTCTGCATTGATGGCCTGGGTTCTCGGGTTCAAATCCTGGGCACAGACCTCACCACTCATCAGCCATGCTGTGGTGGTGGCCCACATACAAAATAGAGGAGGATTGGCACAGATGTTAGCTCAGGGCTAATCTTCCACAGCAAAAAATATATATATGAATGCTATTTTGAGAGATGTTCCCTAATATTTTTTTTTCCTAGAACTTTCATCTTAGCTCTGCTCCTATCAGGAGTTTTAAGTAATTTTGCCAGAAAGTGTGTCTCCCGACACACTTGATTTGATTCTTGATTTCTTGATTTCAGCCTGTCATATTCAGTGAAATGTTAAAATACACCAGACTTGGACGAGCCATCCAGCAGGGCTTTCAGTAATGACCAAACATTCCTCACAGTGCCTCTCCTTCCCCCCTGGGGCGGAGTGCATGGGAGCTCCACGCTCTCTTCCTTAATCCCTCCTGTGTCCCCTCACTCCTGGCCTTGGAGGGTAGAGGCATGTTGGGTGGGTGGGTGGGTGGGTGGGGGGAGTCTGGTGCATTGTACCATTTTCACTTACCAGTGGATGATGCTTGAAAAAAGTGCAAACAGTTCCTAATAATAAAAGCTAACATTTAATAAGCACTTACTGTATGTTTCAGGTGCTGGGATTAAATGTTTTACATGCATGTTCCTCATTTAACGTGTACGCTATGTGTAATATACTTCCTTCTACAGATGAATGAATTGAGGCACAGAGAGGTTATCTGGCCTAGGGACCAATTGGGAAGTGACACAGCCGGGGTTCAGATGAACGCATCCTGAGTCTAGAACCTGTGCTCTCACCTACCAGTGTCAGAACTCAGCGCGGTCCCTCTCTTACTTCCCAGCTGATTATGTGTGTGTGTGGCGGGGAGGGGTTGCCTTTTTTCAATGCAAAAAAGTATATTTTTGTATACTTTACAAAATATATCTTGTATATTTTATAAATAAAATATATTTTCAAAAAATGAGATCATACTCTAAACATTGTTCAGCTACCCCTTTTCGTTTATCAAGATGTTATGGCCTTTATTTGTTGTCAGTAGATATGAAAATCTGCCCCATGTTCGTAAAAACTGCGAAGTATCCTGTCATGTAGTCGTCTGGGACTTTGGGGGTCAAAGAATATGTGCATTTGTGGGTATTAGCATGTGGCCCTCCCAAAATGTCCTACCAAAGTTTACACTCACACAGTGAAGAGAGAACCCATTCCCCGGGTAAGTCTTTATTAATCAGTAGTTTCTTCAAGAGCTGATAAACTAAGAGCTAGCATGCCTGGTGAGCACTTTTCTTCCAGAAGGCTCTGCCCTGGGAGAATTGCTTCTCCCCACAGCTGTCGGCCTCGTGGCCTTGAGCGCCAAACAGCAGCTTTGTAAAATGGACTCCAGTTCCCAGCTTCCCCTGCAAAGTGGGAAGTGGGTGGAAACAGTCTTCCCCACTTCTGAATCCCAGTGCCAGGCAGAGGCGGGCATCTACCCAGCACCGAGATGATCGTGGCCTGACAGTAACCCACCCTCCCTCCCCGCAGGAGTGCTACCTGGAGAGCGACCAGACAAGCCTCTACCACGCAGCCAAGGGGCTGATGACTCTGCAAGCTCTGTATGGGACGATCCCCCAGATCTATGGGAAAGGAGAGTGTGCCCGGGTGAGAAACACAGATGTTTCTGGTGATGGAGAAAGGGGCCCCTGGGTACCCAGATGGGGGGAGGAGTGGGAAGCTGTTTACAAATAGGAACAGTCAATCCTTTTTATTGTGAATTCATCTACTTGCTAAAATTTATTTGTAACCCCAATATTAGCATTCACAGTGTTTTGTGGACATGCCCAGAGAGGCAAAAAATTTGAGTTGTCCAATGTGCATGTTCCCAGCTGAAGTAGAACAAGGCGACGCTCTGTCTTCTTGTTTCAACTCTCACACTGTAAACAGGTGTCCTTTTTGCCACTATCTAGTGCCATGTACCACTTAATGCCACATTTTTGTGCTTTTTCTTGGTGATTTTGCTGTTTAAAATGGCCCCCAAACGTAGTGCTGGGCCTTAGGGAGAAAATACCTGAGTTAGATGAGCTTGGTTCTGGCACTAGTGACATTGCTGTTGGCTATGAATTCAATGTTAATGAATCAAGAATGTGTATCAAATAAGGTGTCTTTAAACAGGAACACGCATAAAACAAGGTGGTTACATATTGATCAGTTGACAAAAATGTGAGCGGAGGCTGGAGGCTCGCAGGAACCTAACCCCGTATCTGCCCTGGGAGCATTGGTTCAGTATTCACTAATTCAGTGTTCATGGTGACTTGATAGAACAGAACTGCCATGAATAACAAAAAACAGACTGTATCTAATTTTATGCCTCGTTGAGAACTAGCGGCTGCCATTGGCTAAAGTGTAAGTGTTGGAATGGGTGTGTGGCCAGCAGCAAATGCTCTTCTGTAGCTGCCTATTTCCTATCAGTCTCACTCTTCCACAGTTTGTCTCCTATTTTTACTTTTTTGATTGTCTTTCTGTTTTTAGCTGAATTTTAAAATCTGCTGATTTCCAGGAGAGTCCCACCTGATCCAATGTTTTGTTTCCAGCAAGTGGCCAATATGATGATCAGGATGAAGAGAGAATTTACTGGAAGCCAGAATTCAATATTTCCTGTTTTTGATAATCTCTTGTTGCTGGATCGAAACGTGGATTTATTAACGCCTCTTGCCACTCAGCTTACATACGAAGGACTCATTGATGAAATTTATGGCATTCAGAACAGTAAGTAAAGTGACATCTACTTTTAACTAATAGATAATCTGATAAAAAGTATCTGAAAGCTCATTTTTTTTAGAGGGAGCTTCCTTTGCATATAGATCCAAGTATATCTGAAAAAATTAAAATACCGGCTTTTGACTTTCAGAAACTAGGATTAAACGATGACTGAGCGAACTGCTGTTGTGGGTCACACGAGGGCTGGCCGGGTGGTTAGTGTACAGGACTGCGCTTGTCGCCTGTGAGCAGAGGCCAGGGGTTAAATACAAATAGCACTATCGTTTGGAGAATACGGATCCTCGGGGCTGGCAGTCCTTCAGGAGAGCTTGTGGAAGAGGTGGGTTTGGAAAGAGGGGTAGAGTTTAGAGCGGGGTGCTGGCCAGGGGCAGGCAGCATAATAAAAGCAGGAATGATGAGGCAGCCAGCTTCCTAAAGCAGAGAGCACAGGTGGGGACATATTCTGGGGGGAAAGCTGATATGTGAGGCTGGGGACAGTAGGTGGAAGACCTGCTCGGAGGCCTGCTAGGGTTTAGGCTTGACAGATTGTTAGGTCAGAGGTCATAAACATGTTTGGTTTGGGCCCACTTGATGTTTGTTTGTTTCTGTCAGCATTTAAAATTTGAGAAATTTTTAATGATAATCGTGATTTATTTACTTACGACCAAAGTGCACTTTGATTATGGGAACATCAAAACCTCAGTGCCGTACGCCCTTTTTTTCTAAAGCCGGCTTACATTGTCTCCTGAGCTGGGAGATTCTGTTTTGTGCCTGGGCACTTGATTGGGTCGCCAGCACGCGCCCACAGGTGCTAGTTCCCTGCATTGTTGTTCAGGTTACGTGAAATTACCTCCAGAGAAATTTGCACCCAAGAAACAGGGCGATGGTGGTAAGGATCTCCCCACGGAAGCAAAGAAGCTTCAGCTGAATTCTGCAGAGGAGCTCTACGCTGAGATCCGAGATAAGAACTTCAACGCGGTGGGCTCCGTGCTCAGCAAGAAAGCCAAGGTGATCTCTGCAGCTTTTGAGGTGAGATGGTTGATTGTCATCCTGCTTCCCTAGGTCACGGGCCTGACCGCCCACCCACAAGGAGCGTCAGAGCTCCAAAAAGATGCAGCCACAAAGCAGGGCTTCAGCGTACTTGTGCCTTTCTCATCCTAAGAAACAGCAAATTCAGCTACTACAGGACACAAGGGTTTCTTTTTAAACTTTTTCCCAGAGCCATGAGAAAAAGTGTTGTTTTTCTCCTTTTTCTGCGTGGTGGCAGGGGCCAGTGTTTGCAGTTTACAAGCTTCCACCATAAACATTTGTTTACTTTCTTCTTTTAAATTTTTTCCTACCTCACTTAAAAGGAAGCCAGCTGTTCTATAAATAAAAGATCCTCTATAATAGAACTTGCAGTTTGGGGGGAAATCTCCAAGTTTAGCCACCATACCAGTGGCAGGGGAGCCCTGCAGACGTGGTTGGTGATAATGACAGTGAAATCCCCACAGCCCAGAGGTTTTCAGTGGGTGGCTTCATTATCGCCTTCCTGCTGCTGCTTGCCCGGTCACTGGTTTATTCCTGGTTAAGCTCGTTTTTGAAACATGGGAATTCAGTAAGATGATTAACTCTGAATATTTAGACTTTGGAGACATAAATTGGGAGAATTTTTGAAAACTAATTTTTCACTGAGTATGTATTTCCAGATTTCATCTTTCTTAGGAGTTATATTCACTAATTGGTTTTCATATTTCTGAAGTTGCTTTTGGTTTAAATGATTAAATTTTGCAAAAAAATATTTTCTCGGAGCCAGTCTGGTGGTGTAGCTGTTAGCTTCGCGTGCTCTGCTTCGACGGCCCGGGGCTCAGAGGTTCAGATCCTGGGCATGGACCTATGCCCCACTTATCAGGCCATACTGTGGCAGGCGTCCCATATATACAGTAGAGGAAGATGGGCCTGGATGTTGGCCCAGGGCCAATCTTCCTCAGCAAAAAGAGGAGGATTAGCAACAGATGTTAACTCACAGCTAATGTTGCTCCCCCCCACCAAAAAAAAAAAAAAAAAAATATATATATATATATATTTTCTCATCCCTAAGCGAGGTTCACTTTGTGGACAATATTCAAGATTGAAGTTCAGCAGTAAGAAGGGATTTCTTTGGGCCCAACCCGTGGCATAGCAGTTAAGTGCGCGCACTCCATTGCTGACATCTTGGGTTTGGATCCCGGGCACGCACCAATGCACTGCTTGTCAGGCCATGCTGTGTCGGTGTCCCACATAAAGTGGAGGAAGATTGGCATGAATGTTAGCTCAGGGCCAGTCTTCCTCAGCAAAAAGAGGAGGATTAGCATGGATGTTAGCTCAGGGCTGATCTTCCTCACAAAAAAAAAAAAAAGAGAATGGATTTTTTTCTGTCATAGAGGAAACTTTTTACTGGTTATGTTCCCCTCTTAACATGACATATTTTCATTTTTTACTCAGAGATTTTTGTGGTTTACCTAATACCGCTCCCCACAAATACTCAGATGCCCACAAAATGCTGATCTCAATATGAGCTGGTGCATAGGAAGAGAAAACCTTAGGCATTTGCTCTCTAGAGAAGTCCTAATGCAGTAAACAGGACCATGAACTCTGTCTTTTCTGTTTTTCTATGTAATGTTGGAGATGAGTTTCGCCTGGTTTATTTGTATTCCATTCTTTCTTTTGCGTTAATATAAATTAAACGTCTCCTGAACAATACAAAGAACAGAGTACTTAAAAATATCTTCCCTGTTCAATGGTTCTGCTGTTTTCCCCATTTCAGGAAAGGCACAATGCTAAGACAGTTGGGGAGATCAAGCAGTTTGTTTCCCAGTTGCCCCACATGCAGGCAGCAAGAGGCTCACTTGCAAACCACACCTCGATCGCGGAGTTAATCAAAGATGTTACTAGTGAGTATCCTTTGGAGTGACTGTTTTTTTCTGGGGCTGACCTGTAAACACTGTCTTGACACCGTGGTCATTGGCACCACAATGCTCCCTTGGGAAAGTCAGCTCTATTTTAATATTGTATATTATCCTCAATATTAATTAAGTGTATGCATGTTCATAGTTAAAAATGTTGTATTTGTCGTTAACTCATTTTTTTATTATTAAAATAATGTGATCATATGACAAAATATTTGGAATATAGATAAGAGAAAAATATTCTTCTGTAAGTAGGCCACCATAATACAAAGTGGTTTTTTTTTTTTTTTTTGAAGATTTTATTTATTCATTTTTTTCCCCCCAAAGCCCCAGTAGATAGTTGTATGTCATAGGTTCGCATCCTTCTAGTTGCTGTACGTGGGACTCGGCCTCGGGTTGGACGGAGAAGTGGTGCCTTGGGGCGTGCCCGGGATCCGAACCCGGGCCGCCAGCATCAGAGTGCGCGCACTTAACCGCTAAGCCATGGAGCCGGCCCCACAAAGTGGTTTTTTTAGTCTAGTTTTTTTTGTATTGTTAAGGATTATTTAACTAGAGCAACATGATGCTTCTGTTTTATTTTTTTTTTCTCTTGAAAACTTTTTGCAGAATTGGTATAGAGAGCATATGCTGAGTATTTTGAAAGAGCTTGAAAGATGTGTATTAAACCTAAGATGAGTTTATTTGCTAAAACACAGACTAAAAGCTGAATAGGGGATTGTTCAGTGCCCTGTTTTATGAAGTATACTTCAAATCTTAAGTAAAACACAGTGTTGGAAAATCAGTCCTTTGTTTTCAGGTTAATAAAAGTGGAAATCAGGTGAAACTGGGTTGAATCTGATGATGAAGGTGAAATGCTCTTGGGACATTACGTTTCATTGATACTGAAGAAAAACTCTTGAGATCTGTCTTTGAGTCCTAAGGCCTTATAGCAAAGGGGTACAGTAGTCAGCTGTATCTAGATGTGACTTAGGAGTACAGGGTCGCAGCGTTTTCTGGGTTTCATAGAAGATTCTTTTTAGGTGATGATTTGAACTTTTTGCTTGCTTTCTGTTTTGCATGTCTTGTTTCTTAATCATGCTCTCTGTATAAAAGCATTAACATTCATTTAATTTCTAAGTTGCAAATGTGCTAATTACATTTTAGCTTCTGAAGACTTCTTTGATAAATTAACAGTGGAGCAGGAGTTTATGTCTGGAATAGACACTGATAAGGTATGTGAACAATAAAACTGTTCTAACAAATAATTAATAATTTATCAAACATAAAATTATAGCTAGAAAAGCAATTGCTTTGTTTCCCGTGCCTTGCCTAAATATTTTTAAGAGCTAATGCAAAATGTGAAAATACAGATTTTATCAAGTAACAGATATTTAACATTACTCTATGCAAGGTGTTTTCTGCAGTAGAAGAGATGAGACCCAGCCCCTGCCATCAAAGAGCTTTAAGGGCTGTAATAGATAAGATATTTGCTTTCTGGGAAAGTTAGTCATGTAATTCCTTACATATTCACCTCTATTAATAAATTTAAAATTATTCAATTTATAAAAATTCCCATCTTCTAAAAAATTTCCTGTTACTTTATGCTCATGAGTTGCTGCTGTTACTGAAATAGACTAGGTCACACACACCCCAAACACACAGCAGCCTCTCAGGACGTTGTCCATGGAGACAGAGGAGTCCAGACAGGCTTGTATTGCCCAAGTGTGTCCTCGCCGGCCTTATGCTCCCAATTACTGTGTGTTTGTGTGGTGACCACGGTGCGTGTGGCAGGGGCTGGAGGAGCCACTTGGAGGGGGTTAGGGAATGTGAAGAAAGAATGAGCCATTCTCCCACACTGCTCCTTTATTTGACTTTGAAAATAATAGTAAATATCAAGTTCTTTGGGTCCCCAAACCAGATGCTGGTATATGTATATACTTTGTTTCCAGGTCAACAGTTACATTGAGGACTGTATTGCCCAAAAGCATCCTCTGATCAAGGTGTTGAGACTCGTTTGCCTCCAATCCGTGTGCAATAGTGGACTCAAACAAAAAGTTTTGGATTATTACAAAAGAGAAATTCTCCAGGTCAGTATATTTTTAAATTACTAATTTGCCAAGGGAGAAAACATCTTTTAAAAAAATACTTCCCAAAGCTGCTGTTTTGGTATATTGTTTCCACTCTCTTATAAATTTTTTAACACCTGGAGGGATCCTCCTTGGTATCTGTCATTATTTACTGTGTTTGCATAATAATAATAGCTAATGTTTACTGAGCGTTTACCCTGCGCCAGGATCTATTGGAAGAGCTTTATGTGTAGTCATTTGTTTAATCCTCACCCCAGCCCTGTGACTTAAATACTATTATCATCCCCATTTTATGGATGAAAAAACTGAGGCACAGAGTAGTTATGTGACTTACCCAAGGTCACCCAACTAGTAAGTGGCAGAGCCAGCACTAAAACCCAGGCAGCTGGGGTCTAGTGCCCATGCTCTTAACCAGACAGTATTCCATGGAGGAAGCGAACTTTTTGCAAGTGTCTGATGATTTCTTAGCAGGCTTACTTAAATTAAGCTTGTGTTACTTTATAATAAGGAAAAGCTCACTATTATTTTTAAAATTCTCCCCTGTTTAAAAGCGTCTCTGGCAGTATTTATTTACTGTTATTACCAGTCACAGTTGAGTACGTTATTGTTAAAACTAAATGCTCATTCAGGGTTTTCTTTTTTGCCTTTTTAAAAATTACCCAAATAACACACGCATTCTCATCATTAAAGATTTACTTAAAGAAGAAGTGTACAGCCCAAAATGTGAATGTCTCTTCACTTGATTTGCACCCTGTTTCCCTCCCTGGATAGGACCAGTGTCAGCAGTTTGGTTTGTGTGCTTCCAGATTCCCTTGTTTGCGTTTATATACAAAGGACATTTATCGACACAGACTGTGGGGCGGGACAGGCTGGATCAAAGGCCCAGCCCTGTTACTCACGAGCTGTGTGACCTTGGGCAAGTTATTTAAACTTCTCTGTAAAATGTAGATGATGATAATATCTGTCTCGTGGGGTTATAATAAAGGTGACCGAGTTAATGCGGGTAAAGCACTTAGAACAGAACAGTGCCCCTACATAGAAAGTATTATATAAGTGTTGACTGTTATTATTCACTAGATCTTTTATTAACGGAAATAAAATCTTACTATACATAGTATTGTATTATTATGTTATTTTGTCCTTAAGAGTATATCCAGAAGATCTTTCTTATCAGGATGTATAGATCTGCCTCATTCTTTTTTTTATAGCTAATTATATCCCATATAAAAATATACTCTAATTTATTTGATGCTCACTTAAATTGGGTCCATAAATTCTGACTGTAAAGGAAAAATTTTAAATCATTCTTTGAAACAGTGAGCTGGAGTAACTGTAATGGACAAGCAGTTCTAGGGTGGGCTTCCTCCTCTGCCCTGCCCCGTGCCCGTGGACAGTCACTACCTGGACGTGGGTCACGTGCCCTGGAGCACAAACAGAATTGATGTGTTGGAAGTGCTCTGTTTTGAAAGTCACAGAAGCCCTTTTCCTGATCTGACATCATGGCCAAACAACTTCTCTTGCAGACGTACGGCTACGAGCACATATTGACCTTGTACAACCTGGAGAAGGCTGGCCTGCTGAAACCACAGATGGGGGGCAGAAACAACTACCCAACCATCCGGAAAACGTTACGCCTCTGGATGGATGACGTAAATGAACAAGTAAGACACACTCCTCCACTTCAACTCAATTTAGTTACTGGTTAACGGTTTATTGTGACAATAGGTGCTACTTGATCTACACATCCGCTTTGCTTTCAAAAAACAATTTTCTAATGTTTTTGAAAAAGTAGTGCATTCATGTCTTGCATTCATCAGAATCCCGGCAGGAAACAGAGGGTGCTGTCACACAGGGTAGTTTGAGGAGAGTTTCCTAAAGATGTGGGTGTGGGGGTGGGTCATTGAGAGGCAATGCAGTGGGGAGCCTTTACCAGCTGAGGCCTAACGGCAAGGAGAGGGAGCTGTTCCAGAAACCTGTTCCAGAACACAGAGGGAAGAGCTTTATGGAGATGCCATATTTGAGGCCTCTGGTTGAGAGAGGCAGCCAACCTCCAGCAGCATCACAGAGAGGAAGCCAGAGCAATGAAACCCTGACCTCACACTGCTGCTTACTCTCCAGTTTCCTTCTGGTGCCTCCCATTGGCCAAACCCAAACAGGGGGCGTGTTGGTGCATTGGTATGGAGCCTGCAGGTCTGCCTCCTGGGCACAGAGCATGAAGGAGAAGGGCAGAGAGGATCTGGAAAATATCCAGCACATGTGTTAAAAAAGTCATCTGGTACAAAATGTGTTCTGTTATGAGATGAGTAAGAGAAACTCAACTAGATTGGAGTCAGGAAGGCCTGTAGGGGGAGCTCTCAGGTCCTAGCATACATTGTCAATTACACCAAACAGAAACAGACAGTAGGCTTGCATCTTTGAAAGGAAGCAAAACTGCCTTACCCTTGAAGGAAGATTTCTGTTGCCGCCCTGAACTGTTGCTTTCCCCCAATGGACTTTCCTTTAAAACAGCCCCTCCCTACTCCCCCTTTTTCTCTATAAAAGCAGCTTCTCTGCTTTGTTTTCCAGATTGGTCTGAGATTCACCATCGCATGCCCATCCCAAATTGCAGTTCCCTTTTGGCTATTCCCAAATAAACTCATTTTGAGGGTAAAATAAGAGGCGAATTTGCTAAGTTGACACAGTGAAATGTAAGTTTCCTTCCACATCTAACCCCATTTTCCCCTCAGAGGCAACCACTGTAACCCATTTTTTATCTATCCATCCAGAAAGAGTCTATGTATATTCAAGCATTTTTACATAAATGGTGCATATTCTATACCATTGGTCTCCAAAGTAGGTTGCACTTTGCTTTACATTTATTGTTTATTCCAATCTTTCTAAATTTCTTTTTCTTATTTTCTTTTTTGGTTTTTCATAAGGGACTTTATTAGGCTGCCTCTTACAACAAAAGCTAATGATTAAACAGTCTCCTCTACTAATAGCAAAATCAGATTATTTTTCCCCAGTGGGAATATAGATACTCTTAATTTCTGTGTTGTACAATGTAAACAATTTATTAGTTCAGCTCTCTTCCCTGTTCTGACCTGCCTGTCCCCACCCCGCCTACCACTTAACACTGTATCTTGAAGATCCTTCTGTGATCTACTTCATTTTTTTTAAGTTCTTTTTAATTGTTACATAGTGGTTTTGTGGATATAGGTTATCTTATGATTTAACAGATTTCTATTAATAGAAATTCAGGTTGTTTCCGGTCTTTTGCTGGTACATACAGTGGTGCAGTTAATATGTTTGTGCTTTGGTCTCTTCCTCCCTGGTATACAAGACCCTCTGTAGGATAAATACCTAAAAGTAGAACTGCGGGGTTCAAGATGTTACATACATTGTTACTCAGCTAGAGAGTGCCGAGTTACCCTCTAAGAAGTTTCTTGCCAAACCAAGTTAGAGATGCTTTGAGTGGGTTTTCAGGATTTGAGTTGAAAGTGAACCTCCGGCTGCTAAGAATAGAGCCCACTTAGGGTGGATTGGAGCAAGATATTGGGGGAAGTTATTTGTGTTTCTCCCTTCAAAGCCAAATCAAATAATTTTGGATTACCCAAAAGGCCACAGTTAGGTCGCTCTGAGTCTCTATAGCTACAGGCTTTTTTTTTTTCTTTAATTATTTAACAGAATCCCACAGACATATCCTACGTGTATAGTGGTTATGCCCCTCTCAGTGTGCGACTGGCCCAGCTGCTTTCCCGGCCTGGCTGGCGGAGTATCGAGGAAGTTCTCCGCATACTTCCAGGGCCCCACTTTGAAGAACGGCAGCCATTGCCCACGGGACTGCAAAAGAAACGTAAGTCTACAGCCAGTTATCTACAGATAATTGTCTACTGTTAGTGTGGTTTTCATGTATTATGCAGTTGCTTTGTAAAATACATTTGTAAAGTACTTAGGAGTCAGAGTCCAGTCTACCTCTTTTGTTAGTTGCTAATTATATTGTAAGCACTAGAACTCATTATTCCCTCAGGAGTAGCAGCTTTCAACCTCTGAGTTGAGGATCTCAGTAGTTAGAAAAAACATTGAGATCAAAATCTTGTTCCTGAGTTTCAAATGAACTGTCCTGTACCAAGACACAATTGACTTTTTTCTTATGGATGATGCCATTTTTTAAAAGGTGGGAAGAGAAGCATCAGTAATAAATAATTCTTAATTCTGACATGTTTGAATTTTAGGTCAACCAGGAGAAAACCGAGTCACTCTGATATTTTTCCTCGGGGGTGTAACTTTTGCTGAAATTGCTGCCCTGCGATTTCTCTCCCAGTTGGAAGATGGAGGTACAGAATATGTAATTGCCACCACTAAACTCATGAATGGGGCCAGCTGGATAGAGTCTCTCATGGAAAAACCTTTCTAGGGCATTCCAAGTAGACTTAACAAGTGAACTGCAGGATAAACTGCCCCTTTGAAGAAGTTGCTGGAAGGAAGTGCAACCCCATAGAGGAATAACAAGAATACAGAACTTACTTTGGGGTCAGCTTCTTAAATTATACTACTTCCCTTTCTGCTTCTCTTTTGTGTTCCTAATTTCTTGAACAAGAAGAATAGAAGAGAATCAACCTGGTTAGAAGAAACACCAGTTTTTCATGTTCTAAGCTCAGGATCTTCATTAGAGATCTCTGGAAGCATATTAAGGATCATGGGGCTGGATAATCTATATAGCTGCACAGATGGGACCAGTTCTTAATAAGAAGGCAAGGACTGAGGAGGTAAAAATGAAAATAAAAGTGGAAAGCCCCACCCCTAATAAATAGTGCTGTGTTTCTTGAAGGCACGTCACTCCCAGGACAGTGGTTAAGTGTTGGGGGCTAGAGCTAATGTCACTGAGTTGAGATTTCTTATTCCTGCAAGTATGGCACATTATATTTAGTGTCACCAGTCTCTCTCTTATTGGATCATTAAGGCAAGTTTTGACTCCCCTGCTTTTTGATTCTTCTTCTATAAAGCAAGAGGTTTGGGGGAGCTTCTTTTGCCAAAACAAAGTTTATCATCTGTCTGATCAGCTAAATCTGTGTGGGTCCCATACTTATCAAGGGCTTTTTACATTGAGGAACATAATAATTGGGGAGCAGCTTCCTGAGAATTTAACCAAAGACACTTCCTTAGTGCACATGTTATTAACTCCAGGACATTTCAATGGTAGATGCCTCCACTGAGGTTTCAGTTTCCTTCCCTGCCCATCATGGGCCCCAACATCCAGCTGGGCCCACTGTGAGCGGTGGCGACTCTTGCTTCTTCGGCATGTTGCATCTCCATCTTCCTGGTAACTGCCACAGGTACTTCTCTAGCACTCGGCAGCCACCCCATACTTAGCCTCTTGCATTTGTTTTGCATGAAAACACCCAACTCTGTTTCAGTCCCTGGTCTGACCTCAGCCTCCTCTGGTGCAGCTCGTCAGTGCTCTTGGCGTACAGTAGCCATAGCTGCTCCTCCTCCTGCAGGAGACGGCTAGGCTGTGGGAGAGAGGAGCGTGGGCGTTGGGGGAGAAGTTGGAAATCTCCCTCCTGCTCCATCCCAGCATCTGGAGGAGTTAAGGCCAAGAAAGGGAGCAAATTGATGGCTTCACAGCTCTTGCCCAAGTCTCCAGCATAATTAGCTGATCCCCCTCTTTGCTGGGGGAAGAAGTCAGCATCCCTCCCCGGGTGTGGTTTCTATTGTTAATTAGTACCCATACATGTTTTTACATCACTTTTTTTCATTAGTGGAATTCTGTTAGCCCGTTGCGTGTTATGAGTGAAGGAGAAATTCTATATTTTAAAAAAAATCTCTTTGTGAGGAGTAGAAAAAGTAATACTTAGAAGATTTTCTTCTCATGGATTTAATTTGGCTTTGACATTCAGTATTTGGAAATGTCTTAAAACTATTCCTATTTTAGAAATCCTTTTCCAGATACTTGTGATCCCAGGGAGATCAGCTTATACCTGGTAGGCCCAGCAGTTGTCAGCCTCAGCTGCTTTAGAGAATGAAATCCACCTTCTCTCTCAGTGTTTTTGGCTCATGGGATTCAATTCAAGTCCAGTCAAGTCTCCTTGGCTGGGGTTTTTGTCCTATGAACAGATACTCAGTTGTGTCTCATGTGTCTGCATTCACTCGTGACTCCATACTTGCTTGCTCAGAGCATAGTTAGGTCAGCTCCTAAAAATGCATTCAGCAGAAGACTTAAAAACATCAATTGCTTCATTTGTATGCAAATAGAAAGTGGTAGATAATTATATATTGTATGCCTTTGTGTAAGTTCATTTAATACTTGAAGCAGGCTTTGTCTCAAAGGAGTATGCCCTTACTGAGAAAGGGTATGTGAATGGTACATTTATTCTTGGAGAGGGTGGATTGTTTACATCATGTTTGGACTTTTGTCTAGTTGGGTAGACAGTTCTGCTACACCGGAGGTCCCATTAAAAAGAAGTCTACGTAGATAAAGAAGTCTACATAGCACTGTTTTGTGTCTTACTGTACACTTTTGAATTTTAGCCAACACACAAATAAGTATTTGAACTAGAGTTTAACTGTGGAGCAAGAGAGTAATGGTTAAAAGGAGAACGATTAAAAACCGCACATCTGATTGTTGAGCAGAACTGGAAGGGATCACCATGTGATTGTCCACTGTAGCTCTGCCCTCACTGGAAATGGATTAAGATTAATCATGACATGCCGGTTTGTCTCTTATTCTGTTGTATGTTAAAGACTGGCCTGTCACCAGGAGGAAGTGCTTACATTTGGCAGAGTTGAATCCAAGAGGAAATACTTCTTAAAAAAATATCGAAACAGGGGCTGGCCCAGTGGCTTAGCGGTTAAGTGCACGCACTCCGCTGCTGGTGGCCCAGGTTCGGATCCTGGGCACGCACCGATGTGCCGCTTCTCTGGCCGTGCTGGGGCCGTGTCTCACGTGCAGCGGCTGGAAGGATGTGCAGCTGTGGCATGCAGCTGTCTACTGGGGCTTTGGGGAAAAAAAATAAAAAATATCGAAACAAACTGAGTATCTAAAGTAGACAGGAAGAGAGGCCATGATAAAGATGGCAGGGCGTAGAAACACAGACATCACATAGACTATGGATTCTGAACAGCCTGTGAGTTAGGCTCTGGAGCCTCATGGACTATATTCAGTCATCTGTTTTAATGATGACACATTATAGAAAATAGAGGATGCCTTTTTGTTATCCAGCAACTGAAGAAAAAGGCAGTAATGTAAATATTCTCAGATTCTCTTATTTCTATATGAATGCATGTGAACTTGAAGCTACATAATGTTTCTTAGCTTCACTTACTCCAGTGCTGTAAGATACCTCAAATTGGGTGATGACTAGAGGCTGCAAGGTTTAAACACATAACTGCCTTGAGACATGCATTTGAAGAATAGGAATGAAACGGATCAGGCCTATTGTAATACCTTCTCTTTTCCATCTGTTACTTTGGTGTGGGATGACGGTATAAATCTCAGCCATACTTTCCTGTGATGAGGCAGGACACAGAAGCCCTTCAGATGACCAGTTCTCTGGGGGAGCAATTACTACTCACTGGCTTCCTGAGTAGCTTGATAATGTTCTGCTCCTGTTTTCAGTCGGGCTGCGGCCGGGGCAATGATTTGATAATAAGAGATCCTGATCGAATTAAAGAGCCATTTGCTTCTGGATGATGATGTTGATAAAAGGGTTGATGTCCACACTGCCTGCCTTTTTAAAGGTCAAAACACAGTCTTTAACTACAAACTACTACAAAAAGCAAAATAATCAGAACAGCATGAAGTTTGTGCTTTCTTTTCCTTTATTGTTACATCTGAGAAAGGGTCTGTTCTTTATTTGCTGAAAGCCCGACTGGCTCTTTTTGCTTCACATTTGGAGGAGTTGTAATTGGAAGTAGGCACATTGGGAAGGTGACTGTATAATGAGTCTCCTAACTGCTAAACTCTGTAAATTAGAATCAAGCACCAGGAGCTCCTGGGTCTCACATACACATGCTCACATGCTCGCACTTGCATGTTTTGTAAGACAAGATTTTGCTTTAGTTGGGTGGTCGTAAGTGAATGTCATTTGTACAGCAATTCTTGTAGTCAGACTCAGAGTAGGATGGGACTGCTCTCAATGTCAATTTGTTACAAAAGGATTTGGACTGTATCCCACCTGCAGTGTTTAGAAAAGCAAGACAAAAAGGGGCATGAAATACCCTCTAGTGGACCGCTTAAATGCTCAGCCCATCTAAGTCAGGAGCTTTGCAGGCAACCTTGGAGCCCTGTGGGCTGTGGTGGTGACACAGGCGGAGGGCGGGCAGGGTTCCCGGTGCCCCGCCTGGCCTGGGATCGCCTGTGCGCAGCTCCCTGAGAGCTCAGGGACCACGTGGAGATTGTGATTGGTCTCTAGACCACACCTAGTTGGCAAGTGCAGCTGCTGCCTGAAAATCCTTCAGCTCTGCCGAGATCGCTGAAGTGCACTCAAGCCTACCTTCGGACACCAGACCAGAGAGGAACCGCAGAGCTGCCTCGGTGGAGGAGTCGTGGAAACTTTGCTGAGTGAGTGAAATGGGGAGAGAGGGAAACTAGTGGCTGGCACTGAGGGGAGTTGCTGCACAGGGTAGCAATGGAGGTGAAGAGCTTGTTTGTGATTGTTAGCATCGGATTCTGTCTGTGGTGGGAGATAGCAGGGCTGGAGCAGATGCACACAAGCACGATGGGGAAGGAGATGAGCCCAGAATCAAATTGATGCCCACCTCTTGGCACTCCTGCAATCCTGGCTGGCCAGAAGGGCAAGCATGCCGGACCACAAAGCAAAGATCCTCAAACTGCATTTTTAAAGAGCCTTGGGGCCAGGGGAACTGCAGAGGGGCTGCAGTGAGGGCCTGCTGCCATCCCCCTACCCAAAAGGGTCTCTTTCCTCTTCCCCTCCCAAGCAGTACTGACAGCTGGGGCTGCAGCTGAGTGATGGGAAAAGAAAGCTTTACTCCACCAACCCATTAGCAGCACTCGCAGCATTAAAAATGCAGGAGGTGGATGGAAGGAGAGGGCTGGGGATGAAGACTAACGCAGCAGCCAGGGCTGGGAACAGCCAGGCTTCTCTCTCTTCCAAGCTAGATTCATATTGGAAGCCAAAGAAGGAGGGGAACTTTTGATTTAAAAGAATTTTATAGTGTAAATGCAAAGGGAGCATCCAGATGGTTGTCATGGAAAAAAATCTGCACTTAGGGCTTCCTTAGCCTTAGGAAAGTGTGTTTACTCTTTTAGGGCCAGGATCTAGTCTAGTCCCTGCATCCACACTGCCTAGATAGAACAGGGCCTGCCTCAGGAGGCTGCTGGAGGCTGGGCGTGGAGGGGACCGCCCTGTGTCCGTGCTCAGGGTCTCCCGGGCGCCCCTGCCCCACAGGTCCTCGGGCCTCCGGCGCAGCGCGATGCCGGCCTCGTCCACCATCCACATGCTGCAGCTGCTGCGGGAGCTGCTGGCTTTCGTGCTCCTCAGCTACACGGTGCTCATCGGGGCGCTGCTGCTGGCCGGCTGGACCACCTACTTCCTGGTGCTGAAGTGACAGCGCCGCCGGCCCGGCTCCCCGCCCCTCCCGCCTCCCGCCCGCCCCCAGCCGCCAGCCGGACCGGGCGCTGCTCCGCCTCCGGCCTCTGTCCTGCCAGACCCGCTCGGCCCGCTAACGAGAGAACTGTCCGTCTCTCGCCCGGGCCCGGGCTGCCTCTCGAGGCGCGGCCGCGACCCGGACTCCAGTCTAACCACTCCTCACGACGGCCGAATACGCTCCACCGGTTCCGCGCCCTCAGGCCCAGGGCCCGCCCCGCTCCGCGCGGAAGCGCCGGCGGTTGGGCATCGGGACCGGCCGTTACAGCCGTTACCCTAAACCCCGCCCTCTCCCTCCCCGTCTGCCCAATCCTGACTGCTCCCTCGGGCGGGGGCGTGGCCATGGGACCAGGCCCACTCAAGTGGAGGCCGCGCCCCGCGACGTGGCGTCACTTCCGGCGTGTGCGTTTGGCGTCCGCTCGTCGCAGAATGGCTGCCCTGAGGAGTTGGCTGTCGCGGAGCGTAGCCTCTCTCTTTAGGTACCGCTGCGATCGTGCAGGAGGGCGGGACCGGAGGGAGGGAGGCGGCACAGAGTGCGCCGCACCCGGGACTGCAGCGCCAGCCGTGGTGGCGCGCGCTTCCCTCCTCGGCCGAGCGAGCCGCGGCGCCCAGCCCCTCTCAGGTCCGAGGACGTCCCACCTCTGCCCGGCCCGGAAGCCTCCCGCCCCCTAGGCCAAGCTTGGGGCTCCTGTCTCACTGACGGCGTTTCCGTTATTCTCACGGCTGAGAGCGAGTCCCCCAAGCTCGGGCTGCCTTCTTGGGGCGGCTTAGCCGGCCCGCGAGCTCCCATCGAAGTCACTGGGGAGAAGAGGGGAGAGACCCGGGAAGGCGGCGAATCACTAGAGGAAGTTTTCCCCGAGGGCAGAAGGGGCCCCGGGAGCCTGTCGGTCCGCGCGGGCCCTGCTCGCTGCGGCCTCCTGACGCCGGAGCTCTCCTCACAGCGCCTGCTGCTCCAGGGGTGGTCGAGCGGGTCAGAGCTAGAGCCCGCCTGCAGAAGCGTCTATTTGGGCATGAGGTTCTAAAAAAACATTGAGACCGCCTTTTAACTTGCACTCCTGGTACCTGTTAAACTCCGAAACCGCTCGCCCCGCAGGAACTAGGGAGCCGTTGCCCGGCTCAGCGAGTCCAGGGCTTCCCGGTCCACCACGCTACCCGCCGAGCCCTGTCCTCTGGAAGGCCACCCTACATCTTCATTTAGTTTGCTGCGTGGCCCGAGTTTGAGTTTCCAACCCCTGCAAATAAGTTGAAGAGACTTTTACAGATTGGTGGTTGTGCCTTATTAAATTGGACTTCTCTTTCTAGGTACAGACAGTGTGTTCCTGTCGTGACTAACTTTAGGAAGCGCTGTTTCTCGGAATTGATAAGACCATGGCACAAAACCGTGGCAGTGGGATTTGGTGTAACCCTGTGTGCAGTTCCTATTGCACAGGTAAAGTATCGTCGTAGCACTCAGCGTTTCTTGTCTTAGTGTACTGTGTCCTCTTGCGGGCTCAGGTAGGCAGCAACCATCAGAGGAGCTCTCATAGTTTTACCCGTGCTCCCACCCGCCACGTGATGGTATACTTTTCTCCTGAACCAGCATCTTCTTTTCATAACTGAGCAAATATATTAATATCCCCATTTTGATTGTCTCATTTGGTAGGAACAGCATGTCAAGGTGGTCAAATTGTATAAAGAAGAAAGAGAGAAATAAAAGCATATTACAGTCTGTCAACAAAATAGTCTTTCACTGAACAAAAATTGAGCAATTTTTATGTGTCATACTCTGGAAATGTAAGAGCAAAACATCCTGCTCTCATAAAACTTACATTCTGGGGGGGAAAAAGGGAAGAAAATAAACAAATATAAAATGCCAGGGGCCAGCCTGGTGGCATAGAGGTTAAGTTTGCACGTTCTGCTTTGCTGGCCCAGGGTTGGCAGGTTTGGATCCTGGGCACAGACCTATGCACCACTTATCAAGCCATGTTGTGGCAGGTGTCCTGCATATAAAGTAGAGGAAGATGGGCACAGATGTTAGCCCAGGGCCAATCTTCCTCAGCAAAAAGAGGATTGGCAACGGATGTTAGCTCAGGGCTAATCTTCCTGACTTTTGAGGCCGATTTCCTCACTTCCTCCCTTTGAGGCTAATTTCCTCAAAAAAAAAAAAAAAAAAAAAAGCCAGGTGATGATAAGTGCTATGCAGAAAACAAATAGGGTAAGAAAGTAGGGAGTGGTGGGAGGGAGTTTGGTTTTAGATACTGTGGTCCAGGAGGGCTGTTCTGATAAGGTGTTTAAGTAGAGATCAGAACAATCTAAGGGAGCAAGCCATGGTAATATCTTGGAGAAGAGCTCGCTGGGCAGAAGGGACTGTTAAGTACAAAGGCCTAGAAGCAGGAGTATGCCTGATAATGTTTGACGAACAGGGAGGAGGTTAACGTGGCTGAAGTGGAACAAGGAAGAGAGAGTAATAGATGAGGCCAGAGAGTTAGCTGAGGATCAAATTGTGTGTTGTGTGCTTTGTGGGCCATTGTAAAGCTTTGGATTTTATTCTGAAAAGGAAGCCACAGTGGATTTTAACACAAGATTATTATGATCTGACATGTTTTTAAAGGTTGCTGTGTAGAATGAGGAAGACCAATAGGAGTCCCAGCGTGAGATGATAGTGGGCTTGGACGAGGTGGGCGGCAGTGGAGGTGGGGAGAAGTGGGCTGAATGTCAGCAGGAGTCGCTGATGGATTAGATGTGGAGTGTATAACCTAGATGCCAATGCTTTTAAAAGGCCTGAGCAATTGAAAGAATGGAATTGCCATTTACTGGGATGGAGAGGAGTGGGTTTTGGGAGGAGATCAAGAGCTCAGTTTGGAAATGACAGTCTGAGATGTCTAGTAGGTATGAAAGTGGCGCCTTAAAAGTCACTGGTTATATGCTTTATCAGGAAGAACTAAATAGGAAACCAGCAAATCCCTTTTTCGCAAAGTACTCCAGATACTTATATGTGTTTATCACAAGATTAATTCCAATTATCACCAGTATTTTCAGCATCTTCTGAGGCTTACTCATGAGCCCTCACTTTCTTGTGCCTCACTTCAGCAGTCATCTCTGCATGCTGATGAATCTTTAACCCTAAAACCCTTACTTGAACACCGGGCCATTTTCAGCTACAGTAGGACAGCCTCTTCTTTCTTCCTTCCTCCAAAAGATTTTTTTGGGTTTGTCGTTTCTCAGTTCATATATTCTTCTTCAGCCCAATTACCTCAGTTCTGGGCCACAAGGCAGGAGCCTCTAGTCATTCTGCTGCAGAAAGAGCAATCCCACTTCAGCTCTCTGAAATCTGCAATGGCTTTCCATTGTGTGTTACAGAACCAAAATCCAGCTGACTCTCCCTGCACTCCAGTGCCCTAGCCAGTCTGTTTCATCTCCCTTGTGCCATCTGCTCCAACCAGACTAGATTCCTGAACATCCCCTGCATGCAACATATGTATTCTTTTCCTCATTATTTCTTCTAACCCAGGATGCCTGACTTTCTAATCCTAAATCCTGAAGTTGTCTTTAGGCCCAAATCTCACCTCTCTCTCTTTAAAGCCTTTCCTAGTTCCTGGCCAACAACTATCTCCCTTTCTGATGACTTAGGTTGTATATTTTGATATTTGATGATAATCCATTTGGCACTCTCTGAGTCAGGAGAGTATAATGGAAAGGGTACAGACTTGGGAGTGAGAAGATTTTGTTTGAGGTCTACATGTGTAGCTTTTGGGGAAAGTTATATAACTACTTTGAGCTTCCATTTTCTCTTCTATAATAAAGAAGTGATAATACCTGGACTGTTGTGAGAAAGGAGAGAAATGCCTTGTAAAATGTAGGGCGTTATGAAGACTAAGTTACCAGAATATGTCAAAATTAGCTTCCCATGAGCAGAGAGAATGTCATTGTTTCTAGCTTCTTTTAGTTCAAGGTACATAATGAATACTTGATTGAATGAAATAAATATAAATATAGTAAATAAAGTTCTTGATTTGTTCATGTATCAAAGATATTTCTTGACTGCTGCTTTCAACAGGGGGTGATTCTACGTGTTTATACTCTAAAATAGCAAAAACAAGCCAGATGACAGAGGGATCAGTTTCTTTCTTTGTTAGTTCTGATATAATAAATACTCTGCTGAGGAAGAAAAAGGCCGAGTCAGGGATGACCTGTCATTACAGTTGCCAATGTTTTAGTCAACGTGGCCACATTCCCTTAACTTCTAAGATAGTTATATTGGCTTTTTTTTTTTTTTAACATAATAGCTGAGGTCAGAGTGAAGAGTCCCCCTCACACCTACCAAGACTATAGTGCTCATAATTGCCCTCCCCCATTCCCCCATAACTTAATCCTCATCAACTCTATGAAGCCTTTTCTAAGCCATTCTCACTCAACATAGAAGTGATTGCTCCCTATGTATGCCCCTATTGTAGCCCATACAGACTTACTTATGCCACAGCTCCCATGGTACTTCATGGCATTAATTTTCAAGTTCTCCGTTGGCCCCCGCCCCTTCTCCTCCCCCGTCTGAAATCTTTGAGGGCAGAGAATATATCTTACCTTTATATCCCAAGCATCTAGCACTGTGGTAATGAATGAATCATAACTTCATGAAACTCGTTTGTTATAATTACTAGCCTTTTATTTTATATAAAGAAATACTTTTTGCTTTTTGGAGCAGAGAATCAAGAATAAAAGTAGATAGACAGCATACTCTGGAATTATTTCCATATATTGTCTTCTTAAATAGCCAAAATAAAGCCTAAAAAGAAAAAGTTAACACAAAGAAGCATAGTGCAGTTGCAGCGTGAGTATCCTGTTTTTCACTTGGCTGTCTGTGATGAAGGTCTCAGCTCGAGCTTTAGGTTAGAAGCTGAGTGAAGATGTTTATGTTTTTCAGAAATCGGAGCCTCATTCTCTTAGTAACGATGCATTAATGAGGAGGGCTGTGTCTTTGGTAACAGATAGCACCTCTACCTTTCTCTCTCAGACCACATATGCATTGATTGAAGCAATCACTGAATATACTAAGGTAAGTATCCTCTTAAATCTTGATCATCTAAGCCAGAGGTTAGCAAACTATGGCTCACAGACCAAATCCAGTCTGATGCCTGTTTTTTGTAGTTTTACTGGAACATAGCCAGACTCATGTATGTATTGTCTGTGACTGCTTTTGCTGTTGTGAGTTGAATAGTTGTGGCAGAAACTGTAGGGGCACAAAGCTTAAAATATTTACTCTGGCCATTTACAAAAAAAGTTGGCTGAGCTCTGATCTAAATCACTGGGTTTTAGACTTTTTCTAGGAAATTTTTTCAAAGGAAGAATCTTAAATATAGCAGCCCAGTATATAAGACAGGAGAACCAAGCTGATCTGGTTCATTTAGGGCTGAAGGAGTCCAAAGTCTACCACCAGCAGCATCAGGGGCTTCTCTGTGAGGATAGTCTGAAAACCACTGATCTGAGCTAATAGGAAGAGTGAGTGTATGGATAATCAAAATTATTTATATGTTTATGTTACCTTTATTATTTTACCTTTACCAGCAGCTTTTTTCTTAGTCTTCTGAGTTTTTCCTCTGCATTGTGTTCTCTATTTCTAAATTGCTAATAAGCTTTTAAAAACATAAAAGTTAACAAGGGAAGATCTTGATGTCCTGGAATAATGCCTCTACTTCAAACAATAGTGCAGTTTCAGTGAGGCAGAAGAACTGAAGAGCCAGTTTGCTGTATGAGACTTCATCTCCTTGAGGTGTAAGTCTCACTAATCCTAACATGCCTCACTTATTTTACTCAGACTTATTTTTTCTATATTTGTAGGCTGTTTATACCTTAGTTTCTCTGTACCGACAATATACAAGTTTACTTGGGAAAATGAATTCACAGGAGGAAGATGAAGTATGGCAGGTGATCATAGGAGCTAGAGTTGAGGTAAGCAAAAAGTTATTAGGCATTTCTGTATTAGTGCTCCTAGCTCATTTTGGCATTTAAATTATTGAATTAAGGTGTCTAACCAGTAACTGTTGCCTAAATCTATTTTTTTTTGTGTGTGAGGAAGATTGGCCCTGAGCTAACATCTGTGCTGGTCTTCCTCTATTTTGTATGTGGGATGCTGCCACAGCATGGCTTGATGAGCAGTGTGCAGGTCTGTGCCTGGGATTCAAACCTGTGAACCCTGGGCCACCGAAGCAGAGCACGCAAACTTAACCACTACGCCACCAGGCTGGCCTCCCTAAATCTATTTTGAATAAGTCCATTTAAATGTGTTTACCCTCTTCATGTTGTCTGAAGTGCTTTGTTTAATTTACAGATGACTTCTAAACAACAAGAATACTTGAAGTTGGAAACCACATGGATGACTGCAGTTAGTCTCTCAGAGATGGCAGCAGAAGCTGCATACCAAACTGGTAGGTTACAGTTTTTACTATGGAGGCACCATTTGAGTTTTCATCTAGCTGTAAAATGAGGGCTTTAGATTAGATGGTCCAAGGCCCATTGTGGCTCTAACTTTGTGAGAAAATGTCCCCATTTCCAATATGTTAACCAACTTTTCCTATTTGCACAATAGGAAAAATTAGCGCCCCTGTAGACCAGACGGGTAGAAGCTAGGTTGTCAATATCCAGAAAATGAAAAGTAATAAAATGATAAAACTACTGCCAATTGGAAAATTTGATTGCTTCCAAATAGTTTTTAAGCATTTTTTTTATAACCCAGCTAATTTATGAATAAATGGTCATAGAATGACACAGTGGGGTGAGACTTGAGATCATCAATCTATGTGAACCTTTTTGTACAGATGGAGGAAGTGAGACCTGGAATCATAGTGGCAAAACCAGGACAAATAATAGCTACCATTTATTGTCTATTTCAGGCTTTGTGGTAAGCATTTTATAGGCACTTTTAATTTAATCCCCACAATTCTTTTAAAGTAGGAGTTATTATTATCATTCCCATTTTATAGATGAAGAAACTGAGGGACAGAGGGATTAAGTAATTCACCCAAGATGCTGTGGTATGGTAAGTAAGCAGCCAAACCTGGGATTCAGCCAGGTAGATGAAATTCTAAAGCCTTTGCTCCTGGTAGCCAGGGCTTCATCCTCTGCACCTTGGCGCCCCATTATGGGAAATGCAGTTATTCATTCACTCTGCTGTTTTTTTGGACATCACTATCCATCCAGTGGACTAAAGCTGAATGGCTTTTAATAAAATATACTTTGAGGAAAACCCTAGTTTGATGTCTTACCTGGATTGGTCCCAAACCAGGTAGCTCACAGAAATTATAGTCCAGGATCAGCTCTTATTAAGAAAGTGGTATGTTGGGGCCAGCCTGGTGGCATAGTGGTTGGGTTCAAATGCTCCGCTTCAGTGACCCAGGGTTCACAGGTTTGAATCCCAAGCATGGAGATACACACTACTCATCAAGCTACATGTGGCAGCATCCCACACGTAAAAAAACAATGGAGGAAGATGGGCACAGATGTTGGCTCAGAGCCAATCTTCCTCACCAAAAAAATAAATAAGAAAGAAAGAAAGTGGTATGTTAAGATACTTTTGTTTTCTGATTTCAGGATATCAGACTAGGGACTCTAGCACTAGAGACTCTTAAAGAGGATACAAAAGATTTTTTTAAAGTAAAAACAAAAAAGAATTCTTAGGTAACTAAAACCTGAGGAATCAGGGATTTTGAAAATGGAATTGGAATGAACAGTGAAACAGCAGAAATGTGTGCCACACCAGAGGTGGGAGCAAGGTATGCAGCAGGAACATCACCAGGCAACTTTCACCACTCACCTAGGCAGGCTTAGATCTAGCAGAAGAAAAGAGGGAGAGTACAGTGTAAGCATTAGCCAAAAAAATAGACATTTTCCAGAACTGATTGAAAGGGCTCACAAATGTTCTAAACAGAATTAAAAAAGAAAAAATTATGGCAAAATATTCAGAATGTAAAATATACAAAGAAAAATCCTAAAAACTGTAAGAAAAAAATAGATGTACTTACAAAGGAAGTATAATCAGACATTGACCTTCTTTATCAGCAACCCTAGGCAAGGTGACAAATCAGTAACCTAGAATTTTATACCCAGCCAAATATCATTAAAATGTGAGAATGAAAGATATTTTCAGACATATGAAGACTCACAGTTTACCAACTGCATATGCTTTCTGGAAAAACTACTCTGCAAAGAAAGAAAAATACAAGAATAATGAACAAAACTTAGTAAAACTTATCAAAAGTTTTGAGTGTTAAACAGATTTTTAAATAATCAAATCAGTCTGGGGAAGAAGTGAAAGCATGCTAAGCTTATCTTGTTTGGGAAGAAAAGAGACACTGGCTTAACCATTAGACATTGTTACTACAAAAAGAATGGCAGGGGAATAAAGAAAATTTGATAAATTCAATTAAGGCAGGAAAGGTTTAAAAGAAAGCTGTTAATTAGAAAATGCAAAGTAAAATAGAGGAACAAATTCAAACATCAGTAATCACAATAACTAAGAATACATTAAACTTACTTATTAAATGATCCTTTTAGATTGTGTTCAAAAAAATAATTCTAGCTAAAACTGTTTACAGAGGCACACCTAACACAAAATGGCATAGGAAGGTTGCACGTTATAAAAAGACAAAGCAAACCATTACTAACAAAAGGAAAGCTACCAGAAAAGCTGGTGGCAGAGCAATGTCAGAATCAGAAAAAGGATTCAAGACAAAAAGCATTAAAAGAGACAGAACAATTCATCAAGATATCAGTCATGAAATATGTACTTAATAAGGCAAAAACTGTTAGATTTATAAGGAGAAACTGAGTTTCATACACATCTCAGAGACTCACATGTCAAGACCAAAAAAATTAAAGCTATTAAGGGTTGATATAGAATGATTTTTAAAAGCCTAAACAAATATATATACTGAATATAAAATTTTGCCCATCCTCCCAAAAATAAATATATATTATTTTCAAACACAAATAGAATATGTACAAAAATTGATTTTGTTCCAGGTGGCAAAGACCTAGCAAATTCCTTCATACCCACTTCCCCCACCAAAAATCAAATGGAAATTTAAAAATATTTAGAATTGTGATGACAGTACAGTATATAGCAGACCCAAGGAGTTGTAGACAAAGTAGCTCTTAAAGAGAAATTGACACCTTTAAAGACATATGTCATAAATACAAAGAACAGCAGCCATGAATGATAGGTAATGGTCACTGTACCAGGAAGTATGGAAAATAAACAAATTAAACTTTTAACCCAGTAAGTTAGAGCAAAATAAATCTGGACAACGTAGAATAAAAGATATATGAATAAAAAAATAGGATTTGGCAAGTATGACTTCTTAGCAAAAGTAACATCAGAAAGGGCTATTATAGATATGGAGATTTCTTTTTTTTAACTATATGAGAATATTACCTTTATGTAAATCCCAAATTGGCCCAAGAAGTAAAGAATCCAAATAAGACCAATAATCATAACAGTTGAAATAGTATTCAAAGATTCTGTGCCCCAAAAGTGGACACTAAGCCCAGTTTGTTTTGTGGAAGAGTTTTATCAGATCTTCAAGAAATGTAATTCCTGCAGTACAGAAAGTGAACTAGTACATAGAAAATGATGATGGGGCCAGCCCTGTGGCATAGTGGTTTAAGTTCGAGCGCTCCGCTTCGGTGGCCCAGGGTTTGCAGGTTTGGGATCCTGGGCATGGACTACACACTGCTCATCAAGCCGTGCTGTGGCAGTATCCCATATAAAGTAGAGGAAGATGGGCACAGATGTTAGCCCAGGGTCAATCTTCCTCAGCAAAAAAGTGGGGGATTGGCAGTGGATGTTAGCTCAGGCCCAGTCTTCTGCACAAAAAAAAAAGACAATGATGACAAGCCTCCTGACTATTGTAATTGTATAAAGCCAGCATAAGCCTGATCCCCAACTGGACTAGGCTAGCAACGAAACCAAAAAACTGTGGTTCAGTATCACTTATAATTATAGATGTAAATCAGCCAAAGGAATCCTGAGAAGAACAAAGCTGGAGGTATCACACTCCCTGACTTCAAAATATACTACAAAGCTATAGTAATCAAAACAGCATGGTACTGGCACAAAAACAGACACACAGATCAATGGAACAGAATCAAGAGCCCAGAAATAAACCCACACATCTATGGACAGCTAATTTTCGACAAGGGAGCCATATGATGGAGAAAGGAAAGTCTCTTCAATAAATGGTGTTGGGAAACTGGACAGCCACATGCAAACAAATGAAAGTAGACCATTATCTTACACCATACACAAAAATTAACTCAAAATGGATTAAAGACTTGAACGTAAGACCTGAAATCATGAAACTTTAAGAAGAAAACATAGGGGGCTGGCCCCATGGCTTAGCGGTTAAGTGTGCGCACTCCGCTGCTGGCAGCCCAGGTTCAGATCCTGGGCACACACTGACGCACCGCTTGCCCAGCCATGCTGAGGCAGCGGCCCACATACAGCAACTAGGATGTGCAACTATGACATACAGCTATCTACTGGGGCTTTGGGGAGAAAAAGGGGAAAAAAAAAAAAAAGAAGAAAACATAGGCAGTACACTCTTAAACATCAGTTGTAGCAGCATATTACCAAGTACCATATCTGACCAGGCAAGGGAAACAATAGAAAAAATAAACAAATGGGACTACATCAAACTGAAAAGCTTCTGCACAGCAAAGGAAACCATCAACAAAACAAAAAGCCAGCCTAACAATTGGGAGAAGATATTTGCAAACCATATATCAGATAAGGGGTTAATATCCAAAATATATAAAGAACTCATACATCTCAACAAAAAAAAACCTAACAACCCAATTAAAAAATGGGCAAAAGATCTGAACAGACATTTTTCCAAAGAAGATATACAGATGGCCAACAGGCGCATGAAAAGATGTTCAACATCACTATCAGGCAAGTGCAACTCAAAACTACAATGAGATATCACCTCACTCCCGTCAGAATGGCTATAATTAACAAGACAGGAAATAAGTGTTGGAGAGGATGTGGAGAAAAGGGAATTCCCATACACTGCTGGTTGGTAGTGCAAACTGGTGCAGCCACTATGGAAAACAGTATGGAGATTCCTCGAAAAATTAAGAATAGAACTACCGTATGATCCAGCTATCCCACTGCTTGGTATTTATCCAAAGAACGTGAAAACACGAATGCATGAAGATATATGCACCCCTATGTTCACTGCAGCATTATTCACAATAGCCAAGACTTGGAAGCAACCTAGGTGCCCATCAAGGGACAGATGGATAAAGATATAGTATATATAAACAATGGAATACTAGTCAGCCATAAAAAAGGATGAAATCTGGCCATTTGTGACAACATAGATGAAACTTGAGGGGATTATGCTAAGCGAAATAAGTAAGAGGGAGAAAGTCAAATACCATATGATCTCCCTTATAAATAGAAGATAAAAACAATAACAAACACTTAGACACAGAGATTGGATTGGCGGTTACCAGAGGGGAAGGGGGGAGGAAGGAGGGTGAAAGGAGTGATTAGGCACATGTGTATGGTGATGGACTGTAATTAGTTTTTGGGTAGTGAACATGATGTAGTCTACACAGAAATCAAAATATGATGTACACCCAAAATTTATATCATGTTATAAACCAATGTTACCACAATAAAATTTAAAAAATAACAATAAAAGTAAAAATATATATATAGATGTAAATCGAATATAGCCATTTACCCTCAAAATACAATGATAATTCAACACTGAAAGGAAGCTATCAACATAATTCACTACTTGAGATTATCCATCTATTATGTATTAAAGGAGAAAAGCTACCCATGTAATCATCAATATATGCCCAAAAGCCTTCAGTAAAATGTAGTACCCATTTATGATTTAAATCTGAGAACAGTCACGAAGAGAGAATTTTCTTAATGTGATAAAGGTTAATTCTCCTTAATAATGAAATGTGAGAAGCATTTCCATCAAGGTCAAAAATAAGAGAAGGATGCCTTCTATTCTCCACTACCTTTCAATGTTGTACCGAAGGTTCTCATTAATGCAGTAAGATAGAAAAGAACCACCCGAATGTTCTATTGATGAATTGATAAATATGTTTATCTATATGATGAAATACACTAGCAGCAGGTAAAAGGAATGATAGAGCTCAAAAACAAATTTTTAAACAAAATTGCAAAATACGTTCAATAAATACCTTTTGTGCCATTATATAAACGTATAGTAACAAAATATTTTTCTGTGCATCCCGTATGTATATAGTCAAATTTTATAAAATGAAAAAGATGCCCTTTAAACTCCCAACAAAGGTTATCTCTGATGATTGGGTAGGGTGAGGAAAGAGATCTTTGACAATTTTATTAGTGATCTCTTAATTTGTCAAAAAGAAATGTATATGTATTACTCATGTAGTTAAAAAGTTAAATTTATAAAATGTCTATTCAAAGAGCTGTGTAGCTATAAAGATAAGTGTGGGAATTGCATTTAATAATTATAATGATAGCTGCCGATAGCTGGAGAAAAATGCTGGGGTTTTGACAGTAAAGGGTAAAATGCAGACCTGAATGTGGAGGTAAAGAGTTCTCTGCAGAGAGAGGGATGGCAGTGCAGGCAAAGTGGCTCCAAGAGGGGCTCAGATGACAACCACGGAGCCCCCAGGCCTTTCCTTGTGTCTACTTGCACCTTCTACCCTGTTCGCTCAGCCTAATTCTCCCATGTTTTGGCAGGAGCAGATCAGGCCTCTATAACTGCCAGGAATCATATTCAGCTGGTGAAATCGCAGGTGCAGGAGGTGCGCCAGCTCTCCCAGAAAGCAGAAACCAAGTTGGCAGAAGCACAGACAGAAGAACTTCGTCAGAAAACACAGGAGGAAAGGGACGAGAGGGCTGAGCAGGAGCAGGAGGCCTACCTGCGTGAGGATTGAGGGCCTGAGCTGCTGCCCACTTCTGCCCACTCAGCCTGGGGAAAGCAAGGGCGGATGCCATCTGGCCCAGGGTCAGCACAGCTTTCTCTGCCTGGAGAGGAGGTGGCAGATCCTGCCCTGGCCCCACAGGCCAGAGGCCTTTGTGAGTTGTGAGTGCCTGACCCCTTCCCCCATGGTCTCAGGTTTGTACTAGACCTGGTTCTTAGCCCGTGGGCACTGTGCCCTGTTTAACATTTCACCCCACTCAAAACACAGCTGCCCTCTCACCCACCGATCTTTTTATCTCCCACCAGAGCATCTCAGCAACCTGGCCAGAGAGGGGATCCCTTTTTTGTCATGCCCACAAGTTCAGTAGCTGTTTAACCTGTTTCCGATCTTATTCACATTATCAAATATATTTAGTATTTGTTCTCTCCATGGGGATGTGAGTTTGGGGGGAAATGGAGCCTGTCCTGTTTGTAGGAGTTCTTTTTAAGTGTTTCTAATGCCTTCTCTGACCTGGCCCCACTGCCCTGTAAGGACAGCTCAGGCCAAGGAGCCAAAAGTCCATTATCCTTCAGAGTGTTTACCTGGTGCTCTCAGCAGGACTTAGTCCAACACACGCTTCTCGTTTCCTTCGAGGTTCTCTATTGTATCTGAAGAATAATTTTTTTTTGCATTGAAAAAAAGAAAATGTGTGTCTAAAAAAGAAAATGTGTGTATGTCTTCTGAGGCCCTATACAACCTCCCTCCTTCACCCCCAGACTGGCAGAGCCCCAAGGGGCTCCAGGAATCCCCCCATGGAGTTCTGGCAGCATTTGCTATACTTGGGCTCCCATTCAACACATGCTGGTACAAGTTAGCCAGGTTTCAGTGTTTTTAATCCAAGTCAGCAAGGTTTGGGAGGGGTTTACAAAAATCAAGTCAGCATTTCCTCTAGACCATCAAGGATCAAGCTTTAAGGTTCTGAGTTTCTCATCATGATAGGAAAATCAACACTGAGTCACTCAGCCCACCCCTCGGAGCTGGGACAAGGGGGCAGCTGCGCACTTGAGCTCCTCGTCTGTCACCAGTGCCCACATGGTCCACATCTCCAGGGGGCTGAGGCGGTGCACCAGGAGGAGCCCTTTGTACAGGCAGGGGTCCAGGGGGTCCAGGGGCCGTCGTATTCCAAATGTTTTGAAGCCAGCATGGTGCATGGGGCTCACTCCCAGCTTCCGCAGGCACATACCCACAAAGACGTCATCTATAGGGAAGAGTTCAGCCTGTTCCACAGCTGCATGGAGGCGCTGCACGGTGGCTCTGGACATGACATACCCCCCACCCCCGGCATAGGGCGGGTAGTGGCGGGCCCTGTACATGGAGGGTGGGATGAAGTATTTGACCTTGGTGTTCCTGTTGGGCAGGGCCTGGCGGATGACATCTCCTACCAGGAGGTCCTGGGCTGGGTCCCAGCCATCCAAGAACTCTAGCACATTGGGGACATGGACAAAGACATCGTCATCTCCCTTGAGCATGAAGTGGGCCTGGGGACAAGCAGCCGCCACCCAGCGCTGCAGGTGCAGCTCCTTGAGCGTCAGGTTGAAGAAGTCCTCAGCAAAGTCCCACTGTAGGATATCATCAAACTCCCGACTCTCATAGGCCAGCAGCTGGGCTGGGGGCACAGGGCCTGCCACCCCTAGGAGGAACACCAGCTTCAGCTGCCGGCCCCTAGCCCATTCCCCCGCCCGGCCCCATGTGCTGCGGATGGCCGCACGCCGTTCCACGTGGCCAGGCTGCGACTTGATGGCCAGGAGCAGAAAGGTGTCCTTGGCACAGCCCGAAGGCTCCAGCAAGACAGAGAAGTTGCGGCAGTGGCGATAGGTCAAGAAGAGGCGGTGACGGCCAGGCAGGGACAGGGAGGCATTAGCCACTGTGTGGTTGGGTGGACAGTGGCTGCGGCGGGGCCCTGGGGGAGCCCAGTAGGGCTGGCGGGCTGTGGGACCCCCTGCCGGCTTGGCCTCCTTCAGGAAGAGCAGGCAGCTCAGCAGAAGCACAGCCAGGCTGTACAGGACCAGCCAGCCCAGCCTGCGGAACATGGCGGTTCCTGCAAGGAGAGAGCTGTGTGAGCAGGTCCAGCCCGTCCCCTGCCAGCCGCCGCCTCCCTCGTCCCAAGAGCCACAGTTGCCCAAAACCCAGCTGCTAAGTCCCTGCTGGCCTTTGGGACTTCCTTTTATTCTTTCCGTGTGTCCTCCGGCTCTTTCCAGAGTCCCTCTCTCAGAGGACAGACTAGCACACCTGCTCCGCCAGCCCTCACCTGTGTTCTGCTGTCATCAGAGGGCTCTTGGGTCTACTTTTCTCCATCTTGCAGCCACTTTAAAACTGAGGCGCCACAAGTCTTTTCAGCATTTCCCAGGAAACTCAAGTACCTTAGGAGCATCAGTGAAATGGTGCAAAGCTAGCTTAGCTTCGGGTTCAATTCATTCTAAGCACGACATTCAGGGCTCTCGAGTCTAATGTCAAACCATTTCCAAAAAAATGTCTGGAGTCTGGTCTGTTGGTGACGCCCTGTGCTGGGTGTCTCAGAGATGACAGCCCCAGGCACTGCCCTTAGGGAGTTTGCTCCTCCAGGGAGAGGAAAGTGCAGGGCAGCAGGTGGCGGCGGCCACCACAGAACACACCCTTCACATCTGCCTGAAGTGGCCTGGGTTTCCTGGAGAGCCACTTAAACAGGCTTTAGGAAAAAACCACACACAATAAGAGCAGGAAAGCTGGAGACTTGTACCAGGGACCGCTACCCTGCGGCCACCCCTCACTCGAGCCTCCCACTCATGAGTTCTGGTGTCCCTCAGTAAGTCTCCCAGCAATCCAGAGAGAAGGCTGGGAAACAGTAACTAGCAGAGTAACCTGCCCAAGGTCCAGAGTAGCCAAGCCAGGCCTCAGGCCCGTCCTCTTCGCCTCCCCTGCCATGTCGTCCTGGTCCAACAGGCCTTTACTTCTAACCAGTCCACCCTCGTTCCTGTGGTCCCTGACACCACCGCTGCAAAAGCATCTCTTCTAGCTGCTAGGGATGTGGTGGCAGGCAAGAGAGGCAGGGCCACTGCTCTCACAGAGAAGAGACAGGCCAAAAAAAAACTAGGACAAACTCCAGATAGGGCTGAGGAGAAATTAAAGCAGTGTAATGGAATAATACAAGGACAGGGAAGGTTATTTTAGCCTATGGTAGTTTAGAAAGCCCCCCTTGACATAGGACATTTAAGCAAGAACTGAATGAAGTAAGGGACCGAACCACATCAAGATCTGGGGAGAGGGGCCGGCCCCGTGGCTTAGCTGTTGAGTGTGCACACTCCACTACTGGCGGCACGGGTTCGGATCCCAGGCGTGCACCGATGCACCGCTTCTCCGGTCATGCTGAGGCGGCGTCCCCCATGCAGCAATTAGAAGGATGTGCAGCTATGACATACAACTATCTACTGGGGCTTTGGGAAAAAAAAGAGGAGGATTGGCAATAGATGTTAGCTCAGGGCTGATCTTCCTCAAAAAAAAAAAAAGATCTAGGGAGAGTGTGCCAGCAGGGGCGAGAGTTAAGTGCAGAGCTCCTGAAGCAGGAGTAGGAGTGACGTCTATGAGGACAGCAGGAGTGTAGCGTGGCTGGAGCATAGAGGGCAGGGAGCAAAGTGGCAGAGGGTGAAGCAGTAGCATGAGGAGACACACACGTCAGGGCCACGGTGAGGGCTTGGGGAAAGCCTGCATTTCATGGTAAATGCCACGGAGATCCACTGGAGGATTTAGAAGAGGCAGTAAAAGAATTCACGTTGTTTGAAAAGTCACTACTGGGCCGGCCCCATGGCTTAGTGGTTAAGTGCGTGCGCTTCGCTGCTGGCGGCCCGGGGTTTGGATCCCGGGCGCACACCAACGCACGGCTTCTCCAGCCATGCTGAGGCCGCGTCCCACATACAGCAACTAGAAGGATGTGCAGCTATGACCTACAACTATCTACTGGGGCTTTGGGGGAAAAAATAAAATTTGAAAAGTCACTACTGCCGCTGCAGTAATGGAGTGTGATAATGGGTTAGGGAAGGGCAAGAATGGAAAGAGGAGATAAGCTAGAAAACTGCTGCATTAGTCAGGACCCAAGACGCAGCTGGGTCTAGGGTGGTGGCTGTAGAGCAGGTAAGAGCTAGATGGATTTCAGGTGTGGAAAATGGATTTCAGGTGTGGGAGATATGCCAGCTGTGGGTGAGGGAGCCCCGGGGGGAATGGTGGTGCCATGTACTGAGAAAGGCACAAAGCAGGCAGTCTGGTCTTGTCTGCTGCGTTTCAGAGGCCCAGGCTGGGGTGCGCTGCAGACCCAATTACCCCTTTGCCCACAGGCTCCTGCTGCAGGCACAGAAACCCCGCGGCCCTCCACTGCCAAACTAACAGCAGTTCCCCACGCAGTGACTGGGATCCAGCCCGCCCCCAAGCCTGGACCACGGTGCCCCTCTCAGGCCTCTCCTCCTCTCCCCACCCCACACACCTATTGTGAATCCTAATTCAGTACCTGCTAAGCCTATGTCTCCCACCATACTGTGAGCCCCCAAAGCCTGGTTCTTAACCCGGCCTGGACCTCGGCGAGTGCACGACACTCTCTAAGTGGGTGCTGAGTCCTAAGGGTCTGCAATTGTCTCTGGGGTGACAGCTGCCTCGGGTCCCAACATACTACGACGAGGGAAAGCCCCAGATGCTGGTACATTTTTTCCACGCGACAGTCTCTAAAGGGCTGTTGTAGAGACCCAAAGAGCCGCGAGGTGGCCAGAGCCAAGACCAGGAGCCCCGCGGTGGACACTCCTCTCGGGCCTGAGCACAGCGAGCAGCACTGCTCATCGAGGCGTCCGGGGCAGGTGGCCCAGGCTGGCCCCTTCCACAACTCCCGGCTCCAGGCATTCTGACCCCAGCGGGGCGAAGAGAAGCTGGGCGGGAGCAGGTGACCGCCTGGCCCCGACGCTCCAGTGGGGGCGGGAGGCTGCCCAGCCGCTGGGCAGGGCGGGGACCATCCCGCCGCGGCCAGACTCAGAGTCTGCCGGGCGGGGGCCGGGCGTCCTCGTGGCTGCACCGTGGTGGCCACGGCCGCGCGCGGAGCGGGAGCCCGAGGGGTGCAAAGGCGGCCCCCTCCCAGCAGCGGGGCTCCACGCGCCCCAGGCCCGGCACGACCCGCCCCACGCGGACCTACCTGAGGCGCGACGCGGGTCCGGCACAAGCGCAAGGCACAGGCGAGGAGCTCGCGCAGCGGAGCAGGGCCCCCGAGCGCCAGCTGCGAGCACCTCGCTCGGCTCCGGCAGTGGGCGGGGCCCG